TCTCGTTCCTTGGAAAATCCTCTATACAACCTTTAAATAAAGTTTGACAGAGTGAAGTTGTGGTGCACTGGGCGACAGGGGCTCAGTTGGTAGAGCGTTTGTCCACTGATCTCTCACGACATAAGCGTCACAGGTTGAGCGGTCAGATCCACTGACCCACAGGTTGGCTGGTGTGATTCCAGCTCCCACAGATGAATTGTCGTTGTGTCCTTGGGCAAGACACTTAAACCACCTCACCCAGTGTCTGTGCACTCTGGTTTGTGTGGATGGTTCCTTCCTTATTGTAAAGCTCTTTGAGTGTCTTGAAAGTGGAAAAGCGTATAAAGGTGTATAAAAACGTAAATTTCAAGTGCTCCGAGATGACCAAGGATCCACAGGTGCATGCTGGGTAAAAGAGCCAAACGGTGGAGTGGAGTGTGAAGGCCGTGAGGACTTTGGGGGAATTGGAACAACACTTTGCAAAGCTCTGATGACGCAGACCCTGACAGTTGGCAAACACCTGGTATGTACGCAAATGTAACAAAATTAAAGCCAAATATTTCCATTTCAAGATGACCACATTTTAAAATAATAACATGGTTGTGAAATTAAATGTGAGGTTTTCTCAGACGGCAGCAGAAGGCAGTTTTGTGAAGTACAGATGTAATATTCTGAAGACATTTCACCAAAAAAAAAAGATAAGATTGTGTTTTAAACTGTTAATTGGTATGACAACATTACACATTTTTCATAATTTTTAAACCTGTGCATTGATTGTAGATGTTTATAAGAAATATTCATGGAAATTACAATGTGATTCTAACTAACTAGGCCACAACAAATTAAATAAAGTCAACTTCCATGAGCTCAAAAAACAAAAACAAAAATACCACTGTAAAATGTAAGGATATGTTTAAATCACACATCATGTTTAAATATTATTATAAGCCGTTTATGAGCTGCAATGTATTTCAGAATTCACCAGGACAACACACACGAGTCATAACGTAGGCATCTTTTTATTTTTATTTCCATAATATCGTTTCTGAAAAGGCAAAGGTTCATGCAAGATTTAACAAAAACACAGCACACGGAGTTAATGCCTCAAATACAGATGTACAGAGAGACAGCAGGATCCATATCTTTGGTTGAAATGACTAAATGCTTCAACAAAAATACCAAAAACGGCACAATATGTAAATTTAAGACAACAGAGATAGTAAAAAAGCGGTTAAATAATGAATAAATTGCGTTAAATAAAGGTGCTGGAGGTGTATTGCTCAAGTCTGGTCTCATATAGTTTCCTCTAAGGCACCTTTCCCTTTGGAGATAATTCCCTACAGTTTTAACTTTTTAATACTGATTCAGGTTCATTTGGACGTTTTTAAACTCCACTGCACGACACAAGTAACAAATCTAAACTTACAATCGGCCTTTAAACATTCCCCAACGTCTGGAAGGATTTAGTAGAGACGGAGATAAAGAATCAGTGTGTCGTTCGTTCATCCCTTTTTCAAAATAAAATCAAGAATAAGAAATTGAAAAAATAACCGTTTTCTTCATTATTTGTCTCCAAAATCAAAATAAAAAAATGGATAATGATTTGTTTTTTCAGTTGTTGGATAACTGCGATGCCGGACTGAACCAGGACTAAAACAGGACTAAAACAGGACTGAACCAGGACTAAAACAGGACTAAACCAGGACTAAAACAGGACTAAAACAGGACTAAAGCAGGACTGAAACAGGACTAAAACAGGACTAAACCGATCTCAGTTCTGGTCTGGTTCCGATCCTGATCAGTCCTGATTACCCGACAGTTTACGCAGACGCATCTCCGGGCCCGTCCCGACACTTAGTACTGGTTTAGTCCCGATTTAGTCCCAATTTAGTCCCGTTTTAGTCCTCTTTTAGTCCCGGTTTAATCCAGGTTTAGACCTGATTTAGACCTGGTTTAGTCCTGGTTTAGTCCTGGTTTAGTCCTGGTTTAGTCCTGGTTTAGACCTGTTTAGACCTGGTTTAGACCTGTTTTAGACCTGTTTTAGACCTGGTTTAGACCTGGTTTAGACCTGGTTTAGTCCTGGTTTAGTCCTGGTTTAGTCCTGTTTTAGACCTGATTTAGACCTATTTTAGTCCTGGTTTAGTCCTGATTTAGTCCTGTTTTAGTCCTGATTTAGTTCTGGTTTAGTCCTGATTTAGACCTGTTTTAGTCCCGGTTTAGTCCCGGTTTAGTCTTGGTTCAGTCAGTATGCGGCACAAACGTCCGGCATCGCAGTTTAAGTCATGAAAACAGAAAATGACCTTTATCCGTTTTTTTTCCCATTATTCATTTAAACACAAAACTGAAAAAAAAACGAATCATTATCTGTTTTTTCATTTTGGTTTTGGAGACAAATAACGAAGAAAATAGTTGTTTTTTCATTTTCTTATTTTTGGTTTTATTTGAAAAACGAATGAACGAACGATACCCGAGTGCTCAGGTTCTAAACTCGGGTTCCCAGACGCTGCTCTGCGCTCGCCCACTGCTCTGACAGGTTTAAAGGTTCTATATTTCGCAGCATTGACTCTTGTGAGCTTTAAGCCGTGTTAGAATGTTGGTACCTCCTCAAACACAGACCTGGAGTTGTGTTTTGTTTCATTCACACACGTTTGAATAATCCTGTCGGTCAACATCTCCAAAGCTCAAGATTCTCTATTAAGCCAAAGATGTTCACTTTGTCTTCTTATGTACTTTAACTTCTTGGGTTCTTATCACCGGGTCATTGGATCGGAAAACAACAAGTTCAGACGCTGGATCAGGGAGGACGTTGAAATCAGGAAACGAGGCTCGAACAGCATTAACCGTGATGACGGAACGTTCCTCATTTCAGGACTTGTGGTCAGTCTGAGCGACCTGCAGGTCCATCAGGTCTGACCACGCCTAAAGGAAGTAACAACAGCTGATATACAACACGTCACCACCAACACCGGTGACAGTTCTGAAGATGCAGCAGCCGAAACATGTCAACAAGGTAAATACACTTTACTGCATTGTTTTTAAAAAGAACCCAAGAAGCTCAAGATTCTCTATTAAGCCAAAGATGTTCACTTTGTCTTCTTATGTACTTTAACTTCTTGGGTTTTTATCACCGGGTCATTGGATCGGAAAACCTCAAGTTCAGACGCTGGATCAGGGAGGACGGTGAAATCAGGAAACGAGGCACGGACGCTCGAACAGCATTAACCGCGATGACGGAACGTTCCTCATTTCGGAAGGTGTGGTCAGTCTGAGCGACCTTCAGGTCCATCAGGTCTGACCACGTCTACAGGAAGTAACAACATCGATATACGACAACACCGGGGACGGTTCTGAAGATGCAGCAGCCGAAACATGTCAACACTTTACTGCATTGTTTTTAAAAAGAACCCAAGAAGTTCAAGATTCTCTGTTCCACCTTGAGATGTCATGAAGCGGTTGTTTTTAAGTTAACACCTTCTTTTACCATTAGTCAGGGGTCTCCAACCTGGAGCTCTCCACCTCCTTCCAAGTAGTTCGCCAAAGGATTTCGGAATAGGCTCTATTCTCGTTACGTTACAAACCGGGAAGACGTTTGGAAACATGACTGCAACTTCCTTTGGGCTCCGTTTGTGGAAATAAGTCTGACAAAATCTAGTAAAAATGAGAAAATGTCCCAGTTTTTTTCCATCTCCATGTCATCGTAGCGTTTCGTTATGTTTGGCGGATCAACGATTACAACCAGACCTCAGTTTTCATCATTTCCAACTCCGAGTGCACTGGTACATGCGATTAGAAGAGACGAGGCGCCAAATTCCAGATGATTCCAAACAGCACGTACATCTGCAGTCTTTGTTTTACCGCTGATCACATTTACTTCAGCGGGTTTGATCACGGTCGAGTGTCGGGAACTAGGGATGGGCATTCGATGAAATTTTCTTAATCGATCGTCGGAAGAATTAACGATCGATTATCGATTAATCATTAACGTTTTTATATTAAAATGATCATCATTATTATTACTATTTGCACTAATAATCTGCATAAATAAATTCAACTTTACGTCATATAAACCGTAACGACTCTAGAGCCACATCAGCCTGTTTGACATTATAATGTGTTTAATTCAGTTTTGTTCAAATCTCACAGAAACAAAACTTAAAACCACATCGCTAATTTGCATAAACTAATCGAAGATAAAACTCCAGCTCTTGTGTCGCTGATGTGGTTCAATTTCTGTTGGATTAAAAGACATGACTCAGGTGAATACAGGTTAGTGTGACCAGATTTGTGTTTGTCAAAACCAGGACAGCGTACGGGGGGAGGGGGGCGGGGCCTCGTCATCCACATTGAGCGACTCTCACCTGGTAAAACTTTTTCCCACTGGACACAGAAACATATGTGCTGCTTTATACACTGTGCACATGGACTCACACTTGTCCCCAACGCAACGGAAAGTGTGGAATTTCTTGTACAAATCATCGTTAAATCCACATTTGTGCTTCGGTTCGTTACAGACTGACCCACTGTTTGTGTCTCGAGACACATGTACACACCTGTTTGGTCACGCTACACACAGTAACCCACATTCGGTTTGTCGATTAAAATGAACGTAATCGATGAAATTCTTAATGATCAATTATCGATTAATCGACTAATCATGCCCATCCCTATCGGGAACTACACCGGAAGTTTTCATCGCATGTTTCCAAACGTCTTCCTGGTTTGTGACATAAGCGTGAACAGAGCCTATTAACCAAACTTTTGATATTCTGCACGTTGGTATAATTACATGTTTATTTTCATTATAAGTGTATAATTTCGAAGCCCAACTTTATGCACAAATAAATGGAAAATTAAAAACTGGGACTAAGTCGTGGGCCAAACTAAATATTTATTGAAAATTTTATCTGCATGTTTTCTCTTCTTTCCAGATATGTAATGTATGTAATGTAACTTTTTCTTATTAAAATAAATGTTTGATAATAGTTTTGCTTAAACATTGAATCCAGAACAAGCAGAATATAAAATAACATTTTAAATCTCTATAGTCTCCAGCTCTAATACACGTTTGATATGATCTCGCGGGCCAAATATAATTATATCTCATGGCAAATTTTGCCCTTGGGCCTGAGTTTGACATGTCTGGTTTATGGTTTATAGGCGTCTAACTGAACCCAAAGACTCGCCCTCTTTCTTATTATCGTCTCATTTTCTTATGGACGCTAAAATGAGAAGCTCTCTGGCATTTTTGTTGTGTAAAAGGAGCTCACCGGAGGAAAAAGGTTGGCGAAACCTGCCTTTAGTTCAGTAGAGATGAGAAATTCCAGGCTAAAAATCATCCAAATGATTCTAGTGAAGGTGTGTGGACTTTAAAAACATGACATCACAAGTTTGAACAGAGTGTTTTCAGTTTGAGAGAAGAACTCAGTCTAAATATGTAGGATTCGTGTGTTAATAAAACATACGTGAATGAAACAAAACTCCAGGTCTGTTTGTGATGAGGAAACAACATTATAACAAAGACTTTAAACTTTAAACTCAGAGACTTTGAAGATGGTAAAATGCAGCGGTAAAGTAACATACAGGAAACTGAAAACGCACGAGTATTGTTTTTGTTTTTAAGACATTTTGATTAGAACCGTTCTCTCCTAATATCTCAAGTGTAGCCCCAGCGTTCGTACAACTAAACCTCGCGTCACCTTTCTGAACCACTTTCGCTTTTCCTTCACTCTTCGGAGCAACCTTAGAAACACTGTTTAAAAATATAAATAAATATAAAATTCATTAATGTTGTCCCTTAACTGTTCAGGAAGCATCGAGTGTGTTTACATGCGCTCGAGTGTCACGGTTCTGATCGAGTATCCTGGTTTTGTGAGCATCCGTGTAAACGCACGATCCTGGTTTCAGTCTCCTGGATCTTTCAATGTCCCGATGTTGAGAAACCAGGAGACTCTCACTGCGTTTTTCTCAGAGTATTCAGGGTTCTGTGGCCTGTAGACAGAGCTGTACTGAGCATGTGCGAATTCAAGTAACAGAAACAGTAGGAGTGGTTACTCTCCCAAATTGACTCAAACTCCTACCAGGACTTTTTAAGAAATAATATGTAATAAAAAATGGCGTTACTGGATCAAAACTTACAAACACAGACGCTCATCAGACCAGGAGGCTTGAATTTTTGTAGTGAAGAAAAAGGATGTCAGAGGCACTTTATCTGTGGTCACATCAACATGTTTTGACTACTAATGAGTCTTAAGTCGTTGAACATGACCACAAATAAATACACTGCAAACCAGAGTGCCTTTTTATACTAAACAATATAAAGCAGTCTGCTGTTTAATAGAGTCACATTTTAACACCAGGCTCACCTCTGTGGTGTTTGTGTTGACGCTGTGACACTGTGTCGTATTTTTCAGCTGTTAAAAACGACTTTTACTGAAGCTGTGTCAGAGCTCCACAGTCTCATGTTCTGACTTGAATGTACGTCTTCTTCTTTGTTAGATGAGACTCGTAACCGGGATGAGACTCGTAACCGGGATGAGACTCGTAACCGGGATGAGACTCGTAACCAGGCCACGATTCGTAACCGGGACGAGACTCACGACCGGTATGAGATTCGTTACCGGTATGAGACTCGTTACCTGGACCAGACTCACGACCGGGATACGACTCGTAACTGGGACGAGACTCACGACCGGGACAAGACTCATAACTCATAATTCGTAACCCGGATGAGACTCGTAACCGGGACACAACTCGTAACTGGGATGAGACTCGTGGCCAGGATACGACTCGTAACCGGGATGAGACTCACGACCGGGACAAGACTCATAACCGGGACAAAAAACTCATAACCAGGACGAGACTCATGACCGGGACGAGACTCATGACCGGGACGAGACTCGTACCCGGACGAGACTCGTACCCGGGACGAGACTCGTACCCGGGACGAGACTCGTAACCGGGACGAGACTCATGACCGGGACGAGACTCATGACCGGGACGAGACTCATGACCGGGACGAGACTCGTACCCGGGACGAGACTCGTACCCGGGACGAGACTCGTACCCGGGACGAGACGACTCATAACCGGGACGAGACTCATAACCGGGACACTTGTGCAGATGTAAACACACTCTATGCCTCACTTCAACTTGAGGTTTAACATAAAACAAATAATTTATAAAGTTATGACATGGCTAAGAAGACTTAACTACTTCCTGAAAATATTTGACAAAATGTACAAAGAGTTTGCACCATGTGGGCTACAATTTAGAGAAACAATTATGCAACAATTATTTTTATCAAACGAGAAAAACTGTAAAAATAGAACAGATCTGCGACATATCACAAAAACAGCCTTCAAATAAACAGATAGTTACAAAAACCCCATGAAATAACATTTCTCTTTTTATACAAAACCTCATGTAATAGACGGAAGTGTGCATGGCTTTGTGAAGTCGTGGGGTGAAGGGTCGGATTTTCTCTGCAGCCATTGGACATTTCTTTGGTAATATTTCAGAAAACAAAACAAACTGACTGTAAATAAATGAAAGTTGGTTTATTTATGAACCCTGTACTATGATGCTTGTAGTTAAGTAAGCACTGATGCGAAGTATACACATTTTGAATTTTTTTGCATGTTTTTACGTTTAGATTGGATAAAAAAATTGAGTTAAAGGTTGTAAGGAGGATTTTTTGTTTTGTTTCAAATTGTCAGTGAAAGTTTAAAATACCATTACAGAGATGCAGCAGCTTTGTAACCAAAAAAAAAAAGAATTAAAATCTACCTGACTGTACATGTAGTGAAGCCAGATAAACATCAGCCAATAGAAAACAAGGCTCCCTCATTATCTATTGGCTGTTAGGTGTCAAACTCCCTGTTTCTATTGTAATTGACTCGTCAGCGCGCGGGGATTTCGTGGTTTATGCAGTGGTTCTTAAGGGCTTTTTCAAACTGTAGCTTCCTCACATTTCGCACAAAGTTTGTTGCACAACATTTGGACTATTGCTGTATTTCTTTTCCCTTAAAAATCCCCTATACAACCTTTAAGTACCGGCAGTCCAACAATGTTAACAACAATTATAACAAATAATATCAAAATATCGTCTTGTTTCATTCTCTTATTTCCAAACTTGTGTCTTGTCAGTGAGTTTTAAGGTCTTGTCACTAACAGAAATCATCAAGCACATTTGGGAATTTACCTTTTGATAAAACTAGATTCCAGAATCTGAAAACCAGCAGTAGTCCCGGTGTAGAACAGTCATTTTTCACAATAACTTTCTCTTAATCTGGACCTGGTTTAGTAGTCAGACTGGCGCCACCTAGTGCCTCCGCTCAATTTAATTTCTCTCCAGCGACTCGGTCAGGAAACGGAATACACTAGACGGTTCGAAAAAAACCTGGAAGTGCTAGTTCGGGCACCGGCCAGTCAGCGAAGAGACAGACATTCTGTGTTGGCAATGATTCCCAAGATCGAGGATTTAAAGCCGGAACAAAGAGAATGTTTGGTGAATTTTATCAAAGCGAAAGACATTATTGTCCTTCTTCTTACAAGATTTGGGAAAAGCTTAATATACCAGTTAGTCACGTTAGTGGTGCATTACATATGTCACGACCAAACAGCAGCGATTGGTTAAATAACAAAACATAGTACAGTATTTTCCGGGCTCTTAAGCCTCAAACCCCATCAAAAAACGACCAAGCGGCCCACAATCCAGAGCGCCCCATACACGAATCCACTCGGGAGTCGCAGCACGACTTTAGTAAACTACAAAGCCGTAATCACCCGCAGAACACGCAAACACACACGGTGCAGACAGCGACCGCACGGCGAAAAACACCCACAGACACACTCATCACTCCACGCCGACGAGGAACGGAACGGAAGAACGAACCGAAAAAGCGACGAGTGCAATGTGCCACTTCTAGACACGACTGAACAACTGAGTCACTGCGAACACGCCGACAATCCGTTGGTCCCAGACACACCCTCCCTACACGCCACAACTGAACAAAGCCCAGAGTCACCGTGAACGAACAAACAAACAAAACCACTCACCCATCACACTGTTGGGTTTCCTTTAAAGTCCCACGCGGTTTATTTGTGAAAAAAGTTAGAAAATAGACACCTTATAATCCAGAGCGACTAATAGCCCGAAAAATACAGTACTTGCCTACCGTCGAGCGAAGGAATCCTAACGCCGTGAGGTCAAACAGTTTCTACGAAGTGAAACCGTCTGATGAATTAAACTACTGGTTTAATCCTTCAAAAAGAAAAATTGGAGGTTTAATGTGCCCACTTGAAATTAGGTTAAAAAAAAAAAAATTCTCTTTTCAATTTTAGCCACTTTCGCTTTAATTTTGTCACATTCGTTTGCCTTTTTTGCCTAATTTTCCTTGTAAAAACCTGCACAATCGGAAAGAAATCAGATTACTCACATCAGATGCAACTGTTGTATAAATTTCTGATAATCTGATAACTCCAGAAATCAGATAATGATCAGATTTCTAGTGTAAATGTATTATAGACCCAGTGTTATTAATAGTTTTGAGCCACATTTTCAATTATTCTGTTTGGGAACGGACCAATTATGTGTTATTTTACATTTTATTTGCTTGTCAGTCCATAAATGTCTTTCACGCTTCATAGTACAGGGTTTTTTCACTTAATTAATTTCATGGGGTCTTCCAACTATTGAAACACTTAACAATCTACTCTAGTTTCAATCAAAAAAACACACACATTTGTTTGTAATACTAGAACTTTTCATCAAAATACAAAAATCTGAATGAAGGGACGACTATTCAGGGGGAAAAGGTGCTTGTCTACCTTTGCATATTTAACTAGTACATGCCTTTACACAAACATGCTTTCTGTCCGTAATACTTTTATACTTATACTGCATCTGGACGAGTCTCTTATGGGCGACCGTTTTGGAAACCACCTGCGTTCGCTGTTTACATGTAGTGTCCATAAAAAGGGAGGAATGTTTGTTTCACTCGGTTCTTACGACAGGTTTGGTTCATTTTTACACTTTTGTTAAAATTTCAGATGGAGGACGGAAGCGAAATCCAATTGTGTACAGAAATATCTTAAAGAGGGGGTATTAACTGCTAACACAAAACATATTTAGATCACCATGTTAACTTTTATTGTTTTGAAAATGCTGTATTCAACTAAAACAATGTAATAGGATTAGGGGTGTGCAAAAATATCAAAAAATCAATATATCGTATCGTTTAATGTGATGATACAGTATTGATATCGTGGGCTGCTGTATCAATATATCGCCAAGAGTATTTTTTGGTATTATTTTACTATATTTTGTTACAGAGCTACAGATTTGTTGCTTGTTCAGAGGAAGGAACCTCGTTTATGCGACACATTCGACATTTTCACAGTTTTGAGGATTAAAATTGGTGTGTTTTATATTAATTATTAGTGCAAGAAGTAGTTTAACAAAGACTTTTAGGCTACGTTCAGACTGCAGCCTGAAGTGACCCAAATCCGATTTTTTGGCCCCTATGTGACCTGTATCTGATCTTTTAACCTAAAACCGATACATATCTGATCTTTCGACATGCGACTTCAGTCTGAACGGTCAGGTCACATTCATCCCACCTACACGTCAGGCTCAGAGTCGAGTCAACAGAGGGAAAGCGAGGTTAGCGAGTTTATTCATATTTGGGAGGATCGCTGTATTCAGGCCAAATTGGAGGAGTCATATTGGAACCGGGCAGTTTTTGAAATGTTTGCCAAAGAAATGTCCGAGCGCGGCTACAGACAGTCCTGGCTCCAATGTCAATGAAAAATAAAGAGCCTGCGAGCCAAATACAAGCAAGCACAAATACAAGTTAAAGACTCAAACAAATGAAGCGACCGTGGACGTGTAACCTGTCCATTTTACCAAGAAATGAACTGTATTTTGGGAGCGACTTCCGTAAACACTGAACACACTCGCTGTGTGTGACGTCGTCGTGTCCTCCAATGCTCATGTGGGACACTTTTGAGACGTTTAAAGTTCACACTGGAGACACATACAAGTCACATTTAATTGGAAATGTGAACGACCTCACAAAAACATCTGATTTCCCCAAAAAATCCGAATTGAGCATTAAACCCTGCAGTCTGAACATAGCCTTTAGCCTTTATTTTTTATTGGACTGTATTAAATCGATTTGAAATATATCGTATCTAATCAAAAGCTCACTGTACCAAAGTATGTATCGTATCGGCCACTTCTTTATGATACCCAGCCCTAATTAGAATGTTTAATAAATTTCAGTTAGATTTTTGCCACTCTTTGTCCATTTACTCTCCATACAAATGAAACTACTGCACATCGCATCAGGTTTGTGAAGTTGTAGTGCATTGTTTTGCATCATGTTTTTGTATATTTATGGAGAATTGTCGTCTTCGGATCGGAGTCTTGTACAAAATCTTACAGCTAAACGTGAAGAGAGTTCGATTAGTGCTCAGGAGAGATCGTTAAATTACTGAAACATGCATGAATGACTCTAAAATCTCACATTTTATAACATGTAGAATGCTCCAAAAAGTCGATTTTACTTAATACCCGCTCTTTAAGTGAATTATTTTTATTGGAAATTGAGCCAAGAAACCATTAGATTCTTAAAGTCTGGCAATCTTTTGTTAATAAACATAACTATTCTAGCTCAAAATTAACTTCTAACGTAGATTTTGACTCGTCCTCCACTTCTATTTTAATGTAGTGTTGTCACGATATTCTATAATCAATAGCGAATAAGGAACTGATTTGATATTAAACATTAAATAGTAGCACTTTATTTTATATTCCCATGTGTTCTTATATCTGTGTAGTCTGACTTTCGATACTTTTGACAACCCTAACGTGCACTTCAGAATAGATTTGCCTACTTTTTCAATACTCAAAACATACAATAACAAAGCAAAAAGTCAAAATATAAAAGTAGGAAAGGAATTAACTCTAAGATTATTGACCAAAAGACTGAATTGTTGTGGACTGGAGACACTGTCGATGGCTAATACAGTAGAACAGTGCAAATGCTCGTAGAACAGCAGGTCGACTGGCAGTCAGTTTAAGGGACAATGGCTGGAAATGTAAGGCACTACAGTCTCAAAAAAGAAGAAAAAAAAACGTATTTAGGGTTTTCAGTTTGGAAAGATACTGAGAGGACATGGGAGCCGCTTTTAAAATGCTTTAGAGTTTGGGATATTTGTCATTATGGGTCTTCAGTAGGTATTTTTTTTTTATTATTTCAGTTCATTTTGTTTATAAAATTTAACTATTTAGGTTTTGGTCTTTCTTTAGTCTCATTCAGAACAATTTTAGGTCTAAGTTTTGTTCACAAGTGACAAGTTTTGTTCTAAAACAGACCTAGTGACCAACAGTTCACTTCGAAAAATGTTTAAGTCCTATATTAATATTACAAGTGTATTTATGTTTCAGTCTACTTCTTCATACAGTCTATATTTACAATTGTATGGAATAAATTTTTAGTCAAATTGTTCAAAAAATGCTTTTAAAATATTAAGCAAAAAAGTATAAATCAAAATACCAATTAAAAAAATTCAACAAAAAAGTAAAATGAAATAAAATAAATCAATGTGCAATCAAATTATTTGTGTAATCGCGTAAAATCTGTCTTTATCTGTCGCTTTGGAAATATTTTGTTTGTTGTTGTGTCTGTCTCAGTTTTTTTTATGCCATTTTCTTTGGTTACAATTTCAGTCTTCTTATTTGCGCTCTGTGACTTTTTGTTTGCAGCTTTGGCATAAACTGTGACAGGTGGGCGGGATTTTCCATGGTGCATTCCCATTGGCTAATTTATGTTTGACGGACAGCCGAGTTTGGAGCTCCTGTTGCAGAAATTTCCTGTTGAAGTTTTGGCGGTTTGGCATTTGTCCAGTACTTACACTGTTTAGAATAACGTTGTTCCAAAAGAACCGCTCTGAGCACCAAAACTTCATCAGGAAACGTCCACAACAGCTTCCAGAGCTCCAAATTTCTTTGTCCGTCAAACATAAATGAGCCAATGGGAATGTGCCAATGAAAATCCCACCCTCCTGTCACGTTTGTGCCAAAACTGCAACCAAAAAGTCAGAGAGTGCAAATGAGAAGACTGGAATCAGAATAAAAAAACAAAACAAAAAAAACGGCATCAAACAAAACTAAGACGCAGAACAAAAATAAAGAGGCAAAGTCGGATATTTTAAACAATTCCACAAATAATTTAATTGCAATCTTTATATATTTATTTATTTTTCATTTTGTTTGATTTTTTTAATTGATATTTTGATTTATATTTTTTTGCTTGATGTTTTAAAAATATTCTTTGAACTACAGGACTCAACCTTAGCAAAAAATGTTTACCGAGTTTGGAGAAGCAAAATGTAATATACAGAATTTACACCGTCTTCTGAGTTGTTTGTGGATTTAACATTTTAGTTTAGTGAAAAAGTGTCTCAGCTGTAAACCATGTGGGAATTTTTATATATTTAGGTCCCTTAATGGTAACACTTTATAATAACTACACCTTATTTAGCCTTAATAAAGCATGAACAAAGACTTAATTAATAATGAACAAAGACTTAATTGATAATGATTAATGCTTAGTAAATGCTTAATTACTACCTTAATTAGCACTTAACTTGCCTGTGCTGTAAATAGTTACTCATAATTATTTCATAATTAATTACTCATGAACTAACCATTTGTGTGTGCATTTGTAAATGCATATTTAAATACAAATTTGAGCATTTATGAATGATTAGTAAGCTACGAGAGAATGATTTATTAATGATGCAATGATAACAGATGCCTGAATTAAGTCTTTTTGAGAGCTTTTCTAAAGTGAAGAGTAATTATCCTTTATTAAGCATTTACTAAGCATGAATCATTATTAATTAAGCCTTTGTTCATTATTTATTAAGTCTTTGTTCATGCTTTATTAAGGCTAAATAAAGTGTAGTTATTATAAAGTGTTACCCCCTTAATTTCCCCAAAAGCACTTTAAAAGGGGCAGTAAGGACAGAGTACATGAAGGAAAGCAGCTTCTAAGTATTTCTATTTCACTACAGTACTCGTGTGTTTGCTCTTTGTGTGTATTTTATGTGTGTGTTTTATATTTCTTTAGTGTGTTCCTGTCTGGTTTTGCCGTGTGCTTACAGACGAGTGAACGGCCCCACGTGCAGCGGCCCTCTGATCTTGGGGGAGGAGCATGCGTTTGTGGAGAGGTTAAAGGAGGTGGAGGAGGGAGAGGAGGAGTACGGGGAGGAAGAGCCGGAGTCTCCGCTGCTGTTCATGGTGAAGACCGGAGAGACGGCCACGTCCACGATGCCCTGACACAGCTCCGAGTACAGCTTCCTAAAGAGACACACAAACACAAAGACCAAAACAAGTCTACATCAGGACCAGAGGCGGAAAGTAACGAATTACATTTACTCACATTACTGTAATTGTAATTTTTTAAGTAGTTTTTGAAATAGGTAATTTTAATTTTATTCAAGTACTTATTGACCCAAGTATTTTACTTTATTACACTGGAATCCACCCCCGTTACTAAGTAAAATCAGATTGATAGAGAAAGTACAGTCATTGTATAGAACCGTTATTTCACCTCATATCAGCTTATATTTCTTATATCAGCAGCCAGTGTGCAATTTTAAATTTTGGCTTGATTTTCTTTCTTTTTTACTGCAGTGTGAGTTGAACCATATAATTCAGAATTTGTTGAATTGTTCACTTTTTTAATTTGTTAAATTTGTTATGCAAGTTCTATAAAGGGCTGTAAAAAGAAGGAAGAGCTCAGTCTTAGTGTTAGTGAGGCTCAATTGTCTTTAAAATGTACAAAGTTTGCAATGTATCAACTAAAAGTTTATTAAACTTGTGCTGGATTACATTTATGACTCATCTTTTTTACATCAAATAATGAAAAGTAATTAAGTAACTTTTACTCAAATTACATTTTAAATGAAGTGCTTTTTAACGTTTTACTCGAGTAGATTTCTAGGTGGTTACTTTTACTTGAGTTGGAATTAAGTAAAGTAAAGACTTAATTATAATTTTTCAGTACTTTTTCCACCTCTGATCAAGATTAAACATTATCACAAACCAGGACCAAATAGGAAAAGTGTGAACTCAGTCTTAATCTAATCAAGCACAAAAAAAAACAAAACATAAAAACCCATCATGACTGAATTACAGTTTTTGCTTCCTGATACATGGTGAAATTACTATGAAAATCTGTCTAATCTCTGGTCATAGTTGTGTAATAAACATTGCTTTATGGTTTCTATGTAAAAAAAAAAAAGAAAATATTTCACAACCAGCAATCCATTCAGAAAGTTCAGACAGGTCAGATCACACAGACCTTCACTCACCTGTCACTTGTTCACTTGATAATAATGTTTGTAATACTGATCTGGAATTGCACCTGTTGATATTTTTCGTGAAGAAGAGGGACTCTCAGCTCACAGAAGCCGACTGAAACACTTCTATGGATTCAACAGTGACGGTCCTCCCACCGGTACTAGAAGTTAATTTTTTTTCCATAGAGAAAATATACCGTATATTGAAAGTTTGAAAGTTTACTCATGCATAAAATTTTGTTTAAAATCTGTTTCTGATACATCATAAACTGCGAAGTTATTAAAGCATTTCACTGAAACTTGCATTTTAAATGTGCTTTTTGGACGACCACATTATAGATATTCGTTAGAGCACAGATTGACTGGCCTCCATGATGCATTTGAACTTTTAATATTTGATTTTTTAGAAAAGTCTATGGAGACATGTGTGAAGAATCCCTCAGTCGTCCAGGTAGAAATTCAATTTGTCAACTGGACAAAAATTTGCTTGGTCAGTTCTGGTCAGACACTGGTGGACACTTCCTTGTATTTGTCTGCAGGGAGGAGCTAACTACACTGAAACTACACTGAAACTACACTGAAACTACCACACACACTTGTTTACAGTTTCTGTTTGTTAATTAGGCCTATTGACCTGTACAGGGTGTGGGGTCTGATTAGCAGAACAATTCATGTCCATAATGGAGCTTCCACACCTCTGGACCTGACCTGACTACACCTGTTGTTGAGACCTGTTGTTCTCTTGTTTGTTTTGTTTTAGGTTTGAGGATGGAGTTGTAAATAGGAGATAGATGGTGTCTGAGTCCATTTCTGTTTAGAGAAGGATTCTCTTTCTCAACAAAAACAGCTTCTTTCACTCCCCTCTCAAACCAATTCTTTTCTCTGGCTAAAATCTGTACCTCGCTGTCCTCAAATGAGTGGCCCGTGGCTTTTAAGAGGAGATGTACAGCAGACTGAGTTCCACTGCTGCTCTCTATGGAGAACATGTGTAAAGAATCCCTCAGTCGTCCAGGTAGAATCCACGGCAAAGGAGAAATTCAATTTGTCAACTGGACAAACGTTTATTTAGGCCAAAAACTTTTTTCAGCTCATCCAAGCTGCTTCTTCAGTTCTGCTCAGACGCTGGTGGACACTTCCTTATATCTGTCTACAGGGAGGAGCTAACTACACTGAAACTACACTGAAACTCCTCTACTCTAACTGACCCTAGGCTGTTAGTTAAAGAGCGGCTTGGATGAGCTGCGAAACGTTTTTGCCCTAAATAAATGTTTGTTCAGTTGATAAATTGAATTTCTCATTTTCTATGGGAAAAATGAATGGAAAATGTACTTTCCGGACCCAGAGCGGCTTCAAAGTGGGCGGGACTGTTGAGCTCCATAATAAAACAACTGAGCTTTTGACTCCTCTCTTATTTAATGTCTCGCTCTCTCTTTTTAATTTTATGATGATTATTTATGTTTTGATTTGTTTGTATTGTGATTTTAATGTATTTCTTATTCTGTAAAGCACTTTAAATTACTTTGTGTACGAATTGTGTTGTACAAATAAACCTGCCTTGCCTTGCTTAAATTAAACTTTCCATTTCTTACTCTTATTGCCTTGTTAACCGTTATTAATAACATGAGTTCTCAGAAAATATATGTAGAAATGATTTGCTTTCTTCTCCCCAAAACTGTGCGGACTTGATGTGAACGAATGAGTGTGAGACAGACAAGATGGACTCTGTGTGTTCTGAAAACTTCACGAGAACGCCGCTTGTATTACTGGTTAAAAACAGGTGCCATATTAAAGAGATTCCCTGCATTACTCTCAGCTGTCCACGATAATTATGTGTCACATGTACTGACTGTGCACAGGCCGGAGCCCCGTTGATCTCGATGAGCCAAACTTTGAAGCTCTCGTCCACCATGAAGTCGAAGCCGAACAGCTGGAAGCTCTGGTACGACAGGTGCTTGGTGCTGATGGCAGGTTCAATACACGACAGACAGCTCCTGCACGCACACACAGAACAGAGAAAATACAGTCATTGGGTGGAAAATACAGTACATTTCTAATAGTATAAGTTCATGGGCTGTAATCAAAATAGGAATTATTATTTGTGACACTTTTGACAACACGCATTGATACAAAAATTATAATAAAACCAAACAAGACCATTAAACGCTTAAGTCTCGTCTTAAGACCAGCTTTTATTGTCTGTTTTTTAACACCACGTGAGTTGTGTGGTTCTCTGAGTCTTTTATTTAATTCATTTATTTATTGCCATTTTATGATTTTTGTGGTTTTGCTTTTATTTGCTTTTACTTGTATTACTGTTTTAGGACTGGTATGACCAAATTTTAGGAGTTTTCCTTTTTGTTGTCTTCATTTTCTGATCTCTGTGCAGCACTTTGCAAACTGCTTTGTATGGAAGCCCATTTCCACCAATAAATAAAAAATAAAAACCTCATTGAAAGTCATAATTACGAGTTTTAAACTCACCACTTTCAATGCTTGGTTCAAGACCAAGACAAGACCAAGACTTCTGAGGGTCAAGACCAAGACAAGACCAAGACCTCTGAGGGTCAAGACCGAGACAAGACCAAGACCTCTGAGGGTCGAGACCGAGACAAGACCAAGATTTTTAAAGATTGAGACCGAGACAAGACCAAGACCTCTGAGGGTCGAGACCGAGACAAGACCGAGACTTTTAAAGGTCGAGTCCGAGACAAGACCAAGGCCTCTGTGGGTCGAGACCGAGACAAGACCAAGATTTTTAAAGATTGAGACCGAGACAAGACCAAGGCCTCTGTGGGTCGAGACCGAGACAAGACCAAGATTTTTAAAGGTTGAGACTGAGACAAGACCAAGATTTTTAAAGATTGAGACCGAGACAAGACCAAGGCCTCTGAGGTTCGAGACCGAGACAAGACCAAGACCTCTGTGGGTCGAGACCGAGACAAGATCAAGACTTTTAAAGGTCGAGACCGAGACAAGACCAAGATTTTTAAAGATTGAGACCGAGACAAGACCAAGGCCTCTGAGGGTCCAGACCGAGACAAGATCAAGACTTTCAAAGGTCGAGACCGAGACAAGACCGAGATCACGGCCCTTCGAGACCAAATCGAGACCATTTTTGCCATTTTGGACACTTATTTTATTTGTATTTTACATTTTACTGTGGTCCTAATGAAATCTCTAATGAGCATAAGACAGCAAGTCCGAGACAAGACCGAGTCCAAGCTCCTTCAAAACCGAATATTCCAAATGCACTGCATGTCTTGAGGCGAGTCTTGAGACCAAAACTAATCTCAAGTACTATGACACTAATGTAGCCTTTATTTTAAATACTAATCCTAACATGATCAGAAGCAAATTTTAAAGAAAATTAAGCAAACTTGCACAATAAAACTCCATGTGTTTTTTTCTTATATTACGATGTCTCTGCAGACTCGAGGGTCTTACTTGATGATATGTTTGATCTGAGGTAAGATGGAGCTCTCCAGCGTGACCCCGTGGCTGCTGAGGAGGTACGCCCTGAACTCCGAGAAGAACATCTCGTTGCCCTCCTCGTAGCGGCCGTAGTTCTGGGACATCTCCTTCTGGATGCAGTGGTTGGTCAGGTGGCTGGTCATGTCCCCCAGGTCCTCGCTGTTGTAGGGCTCTGAGGACGTCCGCAGCACGCCCTCTCTGTACAGGTAAATGTTGTACTGATGGTCCACCAGCACCCAGCTCCTGGAAACACAACAAAAGACGATTTTCAGAGAGAAAGCCTTTGAAGAAACACTCCAAACAAACCACAGTGCTGGAAAATGAAGGCCAAAAGAGCACTTAATAGAAGATCAAACAAACGCTGACTAAATGCACACATACAATTAACATAAATAAACTCTAAAGCTTTGTGTTTCTGCTGTTTCTGGGTTCATTCAGTGGCCACATTTACATACGTTTGTACAAAGACGGTGTCAAATACAGTCCAGTATACAAATATATATATATATAACTTTTAAAAAAAAATGTATGTATTTTATTTTGGGCAAGTAAGAAATTTACATTCTTTTACACTAGACCAGGGGTGTCAAACTCATTTTGGTCCGGGGGCCGTATCCAACCGACTTTGATCCCAAAAGGGGCCGGATCAGAAAACTCATGTCATATAAACCCCAAAAATAACAATAAGTTCAAATATTTGTGCAGAGAAACACAAATCTATTACACAAATCTTTTTAAATTGATGAACTCTTTCTTTTACAAAATATTATAATATTATGAACAACCTGAAACTTTAAGAAAAATACAATTTCAACACAATGTTTTAACATGAACTTGTACGTAAACAGGAATAAGTCAATTTTTGTTGTAAAATCCTGCACTCGGCTCCACTTTTCTCATGTTGGACATTTTTCTGATGAGGGTGTCACGGTCAACAGTCAAAACGATCGTCCTTTAAGAGCGTTTGGAAAGAGACAAGTCTTCATTTGTGCTGCTCTGGTGGGAGGGGCCACGTACAGAGACGCTGGTGATAAACACCACAGAAGATTAACAAGATTTTAATAAAAAATAGAATTAAAATATTTTTGTAGAAAATCAGCAGAGGGCCACATTAAAGGTCTTGGAGGGCCGGATCTGGCCCCCGGGCCGTATGTTTGACACCTGTGCACTAGAACATATAACAATAATGAAATATTGTCCTGAATAAGTACAATTTGATTAATTTAGTGCCTTTTATCACTGTACATGTATTATTTTGATACCCGTCTAATAAATGGATACAGGTTTATATTTAATTTAAGGCTCAATGTGGCACTTTAATATTCTCCATTTCTTGTGACGGCTAAAACTAGGAGCTCTCTGGCATTTTCGTTTTGTAAAGGTAACTCAAAGTGAATTAATAAAGTTGAATTAAGTTAATTAAAAATAAAGTATAATAAAATTAGTTGAATTATATGTAACTGTTTAGCTGGATATGGAGATGAACAAATTAACAAGTGTGTGAAATGAAATGAACACTTGTTTAAAACGTCCATAAAAACCAGGACAAAAAGGACAAAACTGTTTTTACCCAACAGCCATTATTTCACTAAATGGTGCTACCACAGCATATTTTTTACGTTTTACATTTACAAATGTGTCGGCTGTGTATGTGTGTGTGTGTGTGTGTGTGTGTGTGAGAGGTTTTATGCACTTTTTTATCTTTAATTATTTATTGCTTCCTTGGCACAGAACAAGGGCTGCACTTCATTTTGTTATATCCGTTACAATCAGAGGTGGGACCAAGTCTTTGTTTTCCAAGTCTCAAGTGAGTCTCAAGTCTTTGACCTCAAGTCCGAGTCAAGTCTCCAGTCAAAGACCGGAAAGTCTAAGTCGAGTCTCGAGTCACTGGCCCATGAGTCCAAGTCAAGTCCAAGTGGTTTGTTTTGAGCTTCAAGTCATTTCAAGTCTTTAAACCAAAGAGCTTAGATTTTTGCCATTTATATAACTTTTTTTTGCAATTTATAGTACTTTTAAGCTCAATTGTACTTAAAAAAAATCATAGTATATTTATATATGAGTATTTATATAAGAGTTGTAGAAAATAATTTAGTAATTTTTCCTTTTTAAATGTCTTAGTGTGAATCATTACAGTCAGAACAGAAAGAATTCAGATTTAAAGGTGCTTCTCAAGTCACAGACCTCAAGTCCAAATCAAGTCCCAAGTCACTGACCTTCAAGTCCAAGTCGAGTCCCAAATCTTAGTCCATTTTATCAAGTCAAGTCTCAAGTCCTAAAAATAGTGACTCAAGTCTGACTTGAGTCTAAGGCTACGTTCAGACTGCAGGGCTTAACGCTCAATTCCGATTTTTTTGTGAAATCCGATGTTTTTGCGAGGTCGTTCACATTTAAATGTGACTTGTATGTGACTCCAGTGTGAACATTAAACGGCCCAAAAGTGTCCCACATGTGACACTGGAGACACGACGACGTCAACCGCAGCGAGCGTCTCTGTGTTTACAGAAGTTGTCCAAACATGGACGCAGCATCGAGCACCTGGAGATTTTAAAGTTCCTCTCGTACCGGAGCCAGAACATGAACAACTTACTTGTTTTAAGGAGGAGATTGAGAAGGAGAAGGACGAGGTTTTTGGCTGTGGTGTTTTGTGGTTCAGTCCGTTGAAAGGAACGTGTGGATGTGGAGACGGAGCCAAGAGTGGTGAGTGGAGATGTGCTTCACTTCAGTCACACAGAGTTCATTAACAATTTTCGCCGACTTCAGCGCAGAATAGTGACGTTTGTGTCTTGTTGATAACGTGTAGGTGGATGAATGCACTTTGGTCGTTCAGACTGAAGTCACATGTCAAAAGATCAGATATGTATCGGTTTCAGGAGCACATATCCAAGTGTCCTGGGTCACATTTGAAAAAATCGGATCTGTGTCGTTCAGACTGTCATTAAAAGATCAGATACAGGAACATAGGGGCCAAAAAATTTGATTTGGGTCACTTCAGGCTGCAGACTGAACGTAGCCTAAGTTACAACCTGCAAGTCCCCACCTCTGGTCACAAAGACAAATAAAGTTTCTGTTTTATTCAAATGCTCGCTTTGTCCCACAGCCTGACACTTACCTGATGTCAAACTTTCGGTTTCCCGGCTGCAGCAGCAGAGGCCTCTCCAGGTACTTCTGAATGACGTGGACCTGTCCCTGATTATCGATGTACTCCAACAGCTCAGAGGCATCGTGGGAAATCAGGATCCCGGCTCCTGCGGCACGAGCAAAACAACTTCAACTTTTAAGACATGCAAATGATGAGGCCCGTCCGAGTTCTACTTCATATTACAATTTAATAGCGCCACAAAACACTAGATAGAGACATAGATAATACTTTATTTATCCCGAAGGAAATTCACTTTTTATTATTATTCGATTTACTCCTCCTGGGTTTATGGGATGCCGCTATAACACCAAAATGAATCAATGTCTTTGGGTTATTTTTAGATTCACTTGTAAATATCCATACGCGGAGCTCTTAATGCTTTAGTGCTCTTACGTTATAATGTAATTTAATCCACCTGGAGTATTATATATCCTGACACTAAATGATTAATGCAAGATTTACAGTTTTTTTTTTTTAATCAAGATGGCCGAACGGTGGAGCTAAATACAGAATTGTAAAATGTCAACTACGGTGCAATGTTTTTGAAACTCTTTACGTTGTATTTTGGAATATAAATGGAAAAAGAATACAGTTTTGTGCAAGTCATTGTCAAACTCGCTGATACCTTTATTAATTAGTTAGTATACGAGCTTTTGACTGAATCAGCTTTGACTGGGCCAACTGTTTTTGTTTTAAATTATATGAATATGTTTTGTTTAAAGGTGCTGTATTAAACAAAACTGACCTGTGAGATTTTTAGCCACGTTATAATATTGTTATATCCTCAAAAAACTTATCTGGAGTTGCGGTTTGTTTTATTCACACATGAGTAATCCTGAAATATTAGTCTGTCTACATCTCCAAAGCTCAAAATGTTCCGTTCCAGCTTGTACCAGCTCCTTTTACGGTCCATGTACCATTCATTCTTTTGAATGTCAATTAAAAATGAAAAACAAGAAAATGGGAAAACAGTTTGTTTCATTTTCTTCCGTTTTAGTATCAAACAAAAAAATTGATTTCCTTCTCTGTTTCCAATATTTAATTTAAAGTTTATTTCAAATAACACCAATCAAAAAACATTCATTGTGACTGTTTCAGTTTTGATATTTTATTCTCTCTGGTTTATTTGCCCTGGAAGTTCTGCTGCTATAAGTACTTTTTTTTTTTTAATTTATTTATTTTTTTTTTTATAGCGACACATCTTGTAGCAGCCAAAATGCACCTCCAGCCACTGTGTGGCACTATGTCTTTGTTTTCTCTGGGTTGCTACCTATTTAAGACCATTAATTAGCAATGCCAGGTGTTGTAAACTGAGGAGGAACAGTCTTTTGACCGTGTTCACGACTCATGCTAAAATAAAGGAATATTTGAGCTTTTACTGAATCTGAATCTGGGCTCATTTATATCGTCACACGCATCAGAAATTCCTTTAATATTTGCATCGTAGTGGCTTGTGTGGCATAGGGCCACACTGCCCCTGTACGTCTACTTTTGAGTCTTTAATTGTTAATTGTTGAACTTCATGATGAGAAACAGGAAGCAGTGAGACGATAAACTCCTTTGTTCAGTCGACCACCAGAGAGAATAAAATATTAATATTAAAATGGGCACTGAGACTGTTTTTTGATTGGTGTTATTTGAAATAAACTTGAATTTAAATATTGGAAATAGAGGTTGAAATCTTTTTTTTTTTTTTTTTTACTAAAAAGGAATAATGAAATAAACTGTTTTCCCATTTTACTGTTTTTCGTTCTTAATTGAAATTCAAAAGAACGAATGGTGCACGGACCTTTTACTTTTAGTTCAGTAAAGATTTGGCAATTCCAAGGCTGAAATTAGCCAAACAATTCGAGTGAAGGTGTGTGGAGAATTTTCTGTTTGAGAAGAAGAACCTAAATGTGCAGGGTTTGTGTGTTAAACATGTGTGAATGAAACAACTCCAGGTAGGTTTGTGATGAGGAAACAATATTATTACATAAGAAAATAAAAAAATACAAGGTAAAATATCGTGATAATGTAAGTTCTCGTCTGTACAATTTCCTTCCACAGTGTCTTTACCTTTAGCTCCAGCTGAAGACTTGGCGATCCACACTGTCCCGTCTCCGCTCTCCTTCTTGGCGTTGTACGAGGCCAGGAACACCTCCCTCTCGTCGGTTTTGGGGTTGCTCTTTAAGTGGCTGATGCCGTTGGACGCCGGGGCCACGGGCGTGTTCAGGTTTGTGGGATAAATAATGTACGATTCAGGAAACCAGTTACAAGAGTCCCGTAGCTCCGGACTGGTCTTTATTAACCTGATGGACGGACGAGACAATGTCAGTGTAAAGCCTTTTAAATAATTAAGTTTGGACATTAGACGTATGGATTTGTGCTGTTAAGAAGGACGACACCCACTTGACCAACGAGGCCTTTCTGCAGAGCTTGTCCGCCCCTCGGTAGTAGTTCACGAGCTGCACAAGACCCGGCTCATGACCTGAAAACAATCAATTATAGGGCCCAGTCAAGCAGAAGTAAACAACAAGGCCAAAAATTCAAGTTAATGCATCTGATATAAAAATGTATTGAACAGATACATATGTACTCTAGTTTATGAAACTGTTGACCTTTTTTCTGAACCATTTTTGGTTCTAAAGTTCCATACGTTTTAAACAGACCATGTATGAAACATGGAACAAAAATTATTTCCCAAATTTCAAAGACCTGCAAATCATGTAAATAAATGGATGTATTTCATCATATCTTGTGTTATTCCATCTTTGAACTGTTGATGAAGGTTCATGATTTTTCAAAAAAAAAAAGTATTTAAAATGATAAAAATTTGCTTGGAAGGACTGACAAATTTTATAGAAATAGTTTCCTTTCATTTTGAAGTAATATTAAAATATTCAGAAGAAAAAAGTTGACAAATGATGTAAAATCCTGCACCTTCTACTTGTTTGCACAATTTTCCCTCCGTTACTTTTCCCTCCGTTACTTTTCCCTCCGTTACCATGACCTTTCTTAATAAAAAATCTCATGAGTCAAAAAGTAAGAGGTTTTTCAACCTAATCTTGTACCATATGGTAGAAAACTATATGAAGCAAATATTCAAACCAGTTTGTTAAGGATATGTAAGTGAGAACCAAGAGTTATCACTGTTTGGATTTATTGCCCAAAAAGTGCTGCATATTTCATTCCCTCCGTTACCGACATGAGTTTTTTAATTTTTTGTCAACAACTTGAAAGAATATCACAGGTTTAACTTGACCCTGTTGGAGTGTAACTCTTTCCTACATTCTGATACTTTACTTATTTCAATAGTTCCTCTAGTTTCTGAATAAGAGACATTTGAATGTCAAAAATCTGACCCTGTTTCCCTCCGTTACCACTTGACCGGACCCTTTTACATCTTTAAAAATGTTGTGCAAGAGAAATATACAATTAATACACAACAAATAGACACCACAACTTATACAACTGTTTAACCGACAAACATTTCCCTGGATATTGTAGAAAACTGTCTTGTAAACAAAGTTATATGTGCTGTTATTTTGCTAAACATAAAAATCACTCATGTTTTCCAGATGTGCAGATTATCCTTTGGGAATAGCAGAAGTAAACACTGAAGCATAAGGAGTACACGAGACTGTATTTAATTATTTGATGGACTGTTAAAGCATCCCCAGGAGGGTTTACAATACTAATGTTAAGAAAAATATGTTTAGAGTATAATTTGATTTGCCTTGACAAATTAAAAGGAACATTTGTAAACACTGCAGTGGAAATATCTGCTGAGTAGCCAAACAAACCTGTTGAATAGCAATCCATTAATGCAGGAGTGGGCAATTATTTTTTTCCGTGACATGAGAAACAGAAAATATGGTAGAGGGCCAAAATGCTAAACTCAATTCTGCATATTATTAATTGTATTTATTTATTAAAAAAAAAAAAAGCAGTAAATATCATAGTTTTTTCAAGCTGGTCAGACTGGTAAGAGTTTATGTTATGACTAAGCAATGAAAAAGTGAGATTGCCTTACAAAAAAAGATGGCATTAAAAACACTTCTAAAATAAAAGTAATGCGGCTTTAGTCCAGGCATACATGAGGTAAAATGATAAAATCTGTTTGTTTTGTAATTCCAAATGATCTTAAAGGGGCCGGTCAGAGTCAAACAAACTGCATTAATGTTTGTTTTTCTACGTATTATTTAGTGTAATGGACACAAGAATGGATACATGCCACGGAAATAAACTCTACTTGCCCTTATCATTATCAAAAATCTAAAATACATTAACGATACTGAGGTAATTATAATGTTATTACAACAAACTAGCAAATATCTTAGATCTATAGTCTCACCCATCAGGGTATCCCCGGGTTTGACTACCCCAAATTTAAGACTTTTTAAAAGACCTTTTAAAGACCACTTAAATGAAAATTAAGACCAATGTCGCACCCATTATGCGGGCGAAAAACACCAAATCTAATTCTAATAATGACCAACCAACTATCGGTACTATATCTAGAATCTAAGTGACGTTTATATGATGACGGTCTAAACAGAAGATGCAAAAGTGGTGTGGTGTCTTCACTTTTTATTCCACGTTTAGATGAGTGTTTTCGGGAGTAAATCTGCGTGCATACGGTGACGCAAAAGTGTGTGGAATTAGATTGTGTGTACATGCCAGGCGGCTCAGTGGTGATGTATGTGACGTAAAGACGTATGTGACATGAGCAGATCTGACCAGAGTTTTGCGTCTTGGGCAGTGTAGACGGAACTGATTGTTTACCCACTGCCACCCCCCCGCTGGCACCAAAATCCAAAGTATTGTTTGTGCAGACTCCAAATTAATGGTAAATGGTCACATTTTTCTACAGCGCTTTTCCACCTTCAAGGCACTCAAAGCACTTTACAACAAGGAAACCACTCACCCATTCACACACCAGTGTATGCAGACACTGTGGGCAAGGTGCGTTAAGTGTCTTGCCCAAGGACGCAACAACAGCATTCATCTGTGGGAGCTGGAATCACACCAGCAACCTGTGGGTCAGTGGATCTGACCGCTCAACCTGTGACGTTTGATGTAGAGAGCTGGATTCAAACCACCAACCTTTAGATCAGTGGGCGAATGCTCAACCAACTGAGCTACTGAGCTGTCAGACGTTCATTCACATTAGGTTATTTCACGTTGTTGTTTTTTTTGTTTTTTTGTCCTCCTCCATCCATCGCACTGCAGCCTGGTTGAGTAAACAAAAAATAGGCTAATGAAATTTATTTTTATATAAATTTTGTGAAAAAATAAGACTTGGACAACATAATTTAAGACTTTATAATTAATTTTTAATTTAGGAACATGCAATTTAAGACTTTTTTAAGACTTTTAAGACCTCGTGGCTGCCCTGCCTGTATTCTAACCCAGACCTGGGCCACATACAGCCCTTTGGTTGACTCTGACCAGCCTGTTTAAACTCATTTGGAATTACAAAATAAACATTTTATATGTTTACTACATGCATGAACTAAAGCTGCATTGCTTTTATTTTAGACATGTTTTTTAATGATTTTTTTTGTAACGCAACCTCACTTTTTCATTGCTTAGTCACAATGCTATTTACTGCCTTTAATAAAGAAATACAATGAATATTAGACAGTGTTGGGAAGGTGACTTTTAAAATGTATTCCTCTACAGATTACAGATTACGTACCCCAAAAAGTAGTTTGTAACGTAATCCATTAAATTACTTAAAGTGAGTAATGTAATCTGAATACTTTGGATTACTTGGTTTGCTGTGGAGAAGCAAAGACATCATAACATAAGATGTTTTATCTGCTAAAAGACAATAAAAAGCCCAGACTTTACTTTACCGTATTAAAAATATTATTGATAGAAGAGGAGACACGTCCGCGCAGCATGATTTAGTCCTGGTTTAGTCCTGGTTCAGTGCTGGTTTAGTCCTGGTTTTAGACCTGTTTTTAGACCTGGTTTAGACCTGTTTCAGACCTGTTTTAGATTTAGACCTGGTTTTAGTCCTGGTTTGGACCTGTTTTAGACCTGGTTTAGCCCTGGTTTAGACCTGTTTCAGACCTTTTTCAGACCTTTTTCAGACCTTTTTTAGACCTGGTTTAGACCTGGTTTAGACCTGGTTTAGACCTGTTTCAGACCTGGTTTAGATCTAGTTTAGACCTGGTTTAGACCTGGATTAGACCTGGATTAGATCTAGTTTAGATCTAGTTTAGACCTGGTTTTAGACCTGGTTTAGACCTGGTTTAGATCTAGTTTAGACCTGGTTTTAGTCCTGGTATTAGTCCTGGTTTAGACCTGGTTTTAGACCTGGTTTTGATCTAGTTTAGACCTGGTTTAGTTTCCGGCAATGAGTGGAATTACCGAAGAAAAGAAAAAAAAAGGGGGGGGATATAGCCCAAAATGTGAAATCGTGAATCGTTTCTCGTGTGGCTCCATGGAAAAAATAACTGCCCACCCCTGGTCTAACCCATGCAGTATTTTACATCATCTGTTAAATCCCGTGTGGGTGGACAGTGACAGTGAGTGTGACACTATTGTTAGCCACAGATGCTATTTCTTACCTAAACGCCCAAAAGGCAGTCTGTTCCTCTCCCCGAGCATCAAGTTGAACCTGGGATTGTCCCTTTTCAGCCTCTTCCAGTGTCCAGTGGCGAGAAGGATCTTGGAAACTTCTGCATAGACGGTGCTATTGTCGTCTCTGCTCACGAACGTGTACATCGGCCCACTCATCCTTCCCAAACAACAGATCAAATAGTATAAAAAGGTGTCTAAAAGCTCTTGTTAGTTCTGCAGATGGGTTGTTGTCTTTGCAGCAGGCGGACACTGGGTTATCTTGTCTTTTCGTGGCATGATTCAGTCATATTCTCTGCGATCAAACTACTTATTAAGCTGTTGTATGCAAGTCTAAGGTTATAAAAAGTAACTAAAGACATCTAATGCATAAATAGGTAGTATAATGCATATTCCCTGCAACAAAATAATATTTAAATTGCCAGACAAGGGTGTGACTATAGCTGCTACCGTATTCACTGCTGGAGGCTGGTCCTGTCTACATTCATTGGCATCCCGGCAGCTTTTGGGGGTAAAATAAAGCGTCTTGAAGCAAGCGACTCAACTCGGGAGCTGTTAAAAGTGTCTAAACATAAATCTAAAGTCGTTATAAGCTGATAAAAGTGAGCTAGTCAAGCACAATTAAACACGCAAACGAATAATTCCACCCGGCAGCATGTTTTGTCCGCAGCTGCTGTCATCCGCTGTAAACACTGGGCTCCACGACGCTGGGTAATGTAGTTTTTTTAATCGAAACGTCTCCTCAAAATACTTCCTATTTTAGTAAGTTTAACGTGATTCAAAATAATAAATCGATAAAATTTAGAAAACATAATAAGCGTATTGGGTTTGAAAGCATGACAATTCAGATAAATAATAATGAAGTAAGGTCAATCATAAAGTAAACTACCAGTCCCAGAAGGCATTGCGAAAAGACAGCCGCTTCCTAGATTAATCTCCTTTGTGGCCACTAGATAGAGCAAAAGTCCACAACAAGAGTAGAAACACGTCTGACGTCTAAAATATATGTTTACATTTTTTTTTTTAAAGTTTGTTAATTTAATCGATGTTTAATTGCGTAAAACATACAATGAAGGCTTTAAGATATTGTAATTTTTTTTTTTAAATCGCATTTAATTTTTATTTTTTTTTCCCAATTAACATTATTACAGAGTAGAAACACGTCTGACATCTAAAATATATGTTTTAGAAAATAAAAAAACATTTCGTTACTTTAATCAAAGTTTAATCACATAAAACGTACAGCGAAGGCTTTGAGATATTTTTTTTTTTTTTTTTTTTTTATCGTATTTTTTAACAATGATACAGCAAAGTGGATGCAGTATAACTTTTATTTAAATAAGATAAAAGTACATATTTTCTTATAATTATTATTAGCAAAAAAAGTGAAAAGGATACTACACCGGAAGTTGTCGTGCAGGACGCAGGAAGTAGGAGAAAGCCGTGGCGGGAACAAACCAAAACAAACCACGTAAACTTTTGTCAAGCTCGATTTTTCTTAAACTTTAACATTCAGAGGATATTTGACAGTAAGTATGTGTTTACTCTCGTTTGGTTGTGTCAGATTTGTTATTTAGTCAATGTGAAGTCATTAATGTAAGAAAAGTGCCTTGATAAAGATTTAAAACCCACACGAGAGGAGAAATATTGACTGAAAAATGCACTTTACACGGTGCTTTGGCTATTAAGTACAATTGACGCAATAAACTGATTAATTATCTGTATTCAGTGTTGGGAAGGTGACTTTTAAAATGTATTCCTCTACAGATTACTGATTATATACCCCAAAATGTAGTTTGTAACGTAATCCATTAAATTACTTAAAGTGAGTAATGTAATCTGATTACTTTGGATTACTTGATATTGTTGTGCTTTTTAAAACTACATGAATGTAACAACTACATCCTGAAAATTCTTGTTTGTTCTCTTCAAATTGTCTGTTGAGCCCAAGTCTCCATGAACAGGTTTGCTGTAGTATTGCTGTCATATTGTTTAGACCTGGTTTTTGTCCTGGTTTTAGTCCTGGTTTTAGATCTGGTTTTAGTCCTAGTTTAGTCCTAATTTAGACCAGGTTTTAGTCCTGATTTAGTCCTAGTTTAGACCGGGTTTTAGACCTGTTTTAGTCCTGTTTTAGTCCTGTTTTAGTCCTGTTTTAGACCTGGTTTAGTCCTAGTTTAGACCTGGTTTTAGTCCTGGCTTTAGTCCTGTTTTAGACCTGGTTTTAGTCCTGGTTTAGACCTGGTTTTAGTCCTGCTTTAGTCCTAGTTTTAGTCCTCGTTTAGACCTGGTTTTAATCTTGATTTAGTCCTAGTTTAGACCTGGTTTTAGACCTGGTTTTAGTCTTGGTTTTAGTCCTGTTTTAGACCTGGTTTTAGACCTGGTTTTAGTCCTGTTTTAGTCCTGTTTTAGTCCTGGTTTTAGACCTGGTTTAGTCCTAGTTTAGACCTGGTTTTAGTCCTGGTTTTAGTCCTGGTTTTAGACCTGGTTTAGTCCTGGTTTTAGTCCTGTTTTAGTCCTGGTTTGGACCTGGTTTAGACCTGGTATTAGTCCTGCTTTAGTCTTAGTTTTAGTCCTCGTTTAGACCTGGTTTAGTCCTGGTTTAGTCCAAAATGTGAAAACAGGAAAATACCGCCATGTAATCCATTTATTTCAACAAAGTAACTGTAATCCAATTACCACTCACTGAAACAGTAACTGTAACTGAATACAGTTACTCATAATTTGTACTCTGATTACGTAACTCCGGTACATGTAATCTGTTACTCCACAACACTGTCTGTAATTATAAGATGGCTTGTTTATGGTGCTGTTCATTTGCAGTTTAGTTGTGTGTATCAGATCGTTTCAGTGCTGTTATGAATCTGATTTATAGAGAAAAACAGGTGTACCTTTATAATTACGTCTCTATTTACGCCCAGTTTTGAGCCCTGTGTCCCCTGTCCCATCAGATTTATCCTTTAACCTTTGATTTGTCCCAGTTTTATACAACGAAATGTCCCAGGTGTTCCTATTTTTGACCAATCTGATACTAGTCAACAGTAAATAAAGGCATAAATTGACATTAGTTTAGGTAAAATGCAGAAAAGCTGCTTAAAAACGACCAAAACACAAAGAAAATGTGACTATACTGACTCACAATAGTGCCGAGTGCGTTACAATTTTCCTTAATCACGCACTCGTTTCGCAATTTTATTATTACCAACCACCACAAACCAGTTTTTTATTTTGAAAATCTCCCTACTTATAAATACTGTACATGGACAAACAAATTAAAGTTGACTTAATGTGCAAGAGAGTAATATACGAAGCTCCAAAACATGTCCTATGTGTCCCAGTTTTATACAAGAAATGTCCCAGGTTGTCCCTATTTTTGACCAATCTGATCCCTGCCAACAGTAAATAAAGGCATAAATTGACATTTGTTTAGATAAAATATAGAAAAGCCGCTTAAAAATAACCAAAACACAAAGAAAATGTGACTATACTGACTCACAATAGTGCCGAGTGCTTTACAATTTTCCTTAATCACGCGCTCGTTTCACAATTTTATTATTACCAACCACCACAAACCAATTTTTTATTTTGAAAATCTGGTCTCCCTACTTATAACTTACACGGACAAACAAATTAAACTTGACTTAATGTGCAAGAGAGTAATATACGAAGCTCCAAAACATGTCCTGTGTGTTACTGCAGCTGTTACTTATCTAATAAAACTAATAAATGAGTAGAGGTGGCATTAATAAGTATTCCTGCTTTGTTTATTTTGAGAATAAAATATAAAAAGTAATTTAAATCAAGCAAAAATACTGACCAGCTTTATTTTGTGAAACACTAATGAAGTAAACAGGTTATTTTTATTTGTGTTGTGCTTTTCACCGAAGTGATTTTACATGAATAATACATTGAAATAGAAATAGAAGAAATACAAACACTAACACTAACAACAATAAATGAAGAGACTGCTCCATCAGCTAAAACCTTTTCTAAAGCTGCTTAAATGAGTCTACTGAATTACAATTGCAGAATGTTTGAAGGTGCTGCATGTAATGATTGTCTTGTCTCCACAGAGATGTTATAGCCATTGCTTGGAATGTTCCTCAGTATGGCATTAATCTTATCTTTTTTCTTGGAGATAAGCCGGTGATCACTGGTTTGTCTCTTCATTTATTGTTGTTAATGTTTGTATTTCTTCTATTTCAATGTATGTAAAGCGCTAAAAACTCAATACAAATAAAAAATAACCTGTTTACTTAATTATAGTGTTTGACAATATAAAGCTGGTCAGTGTTTTTGCTTGATTTAAATTACGTTTTATATTTTCTTCTCAAAATAAACAAAGCAAAATACTTATTAATGCAATCTCTACTCATTTATTAGTTTTATTAGATAAGTAACAGCTGCAGTAACACATAGGACATGTTTTGGAGCTTCGTATATTACTCTCTTGCACTTTAAGTTAACTTCACTTTGTTGGTCCACGTGTGGCGCTGTCGTTCTGCCTCCATCTGTAGGAAAACGGCGCCAAAATCTGTATAAATCAGCTGAGCGACACGTCACAGAAACAGACTCTGAGTTAGACCGAGAGTGAGCCGTCCAAACTGACAGGTATGAAAACAATCCCTGTATCATTTGTTCGTTCATTGTTCTAAATAAAACCAAAAATAAGAAAAAAATATATATATTTCTTCATTATTTGTGTACAAAATCAAAATGAAAAAACAGATAATGATTTGTTTTTTCAGTTTTGTGTTTAAATGAAGAATGGAAAAAACATAACGACTGTTTCCATGATTTAAACTACGATACTGAACTTTTGCATGACATGCAGACTGAGGCCGGGACTGAGGCCGGGACTGAGGCCGGGGCTGAGGCCGGGGCTGAGGCCGGGACTGAGGCCGGGACTGAGGCCGGGACTGAGGCCGGGACTGAGGCCGGGCTGAGGCCGGGACTGAATCAGGTTTAGTCGTGGTTCAGCTCTGGTTTAGACCTGGTTTAGACCTGGTTCAGTCCTGGTTCAATACTGTTTTAGTCCTGTTTTAGACCTGGTTCAGTACTGCTTCAGTCCTGTTTTAGACCTGGTTCAATCCTGGTTCAGACCTGGTTTAGACCTGGTTCAGTCCTGGTTTAGACCTGGTTCAGTCCTGGTTTAGACCTGGTTCAGTCCTGGTTTAGACCTGGTTTAGTCCTGGTTCAGACCTGGTTTTGTCCTGGTTTTGTCCTGGTTTAGACCTGGTTCAGACCTGGTTCAGTCCTGATTTAAACCTGGTTCAGTCCTGGTTTCAGACCTGGTTTTGTCCTGGTTTAGTCCTGGTTCAGACCTGGTTCAGTCCTGGTGCAGTCCTGGTTCAGACCTGGTGCAGTCCTGGTTCAGACCTGGTGCAGTCCTGGTTCAGACCTGGTTGCAGTCCTGGTTCAGTCCTGGTTCAGTCCGACATTGCAGTTTAAATCACGGAAACAGGAAACAACCATTATCCTTTTTTTCCATTTTTCATTTAAACACAAAACTGAAAACTGAAAAAACGACTCATTATCTGTTTTTTCATTTTGGTTTTGGACACAAATAACAAAAAAAATAACTTTTCTTCATTTAATTATTTTTGGTTTTATTTTGAAAAACAAAGAAACAAATGATACACAGATTGAAAGCAAACTCTTGGTCTGAAAAAAAAGAACCTAATAACCAAATCATACTAATAAAAACAAATGAACCTCGTTGGATTAAGTTACAGGTCAGTTTTGGACTGACTTTTGCTTTATTTACCTAATTTCTGGAGTTACGAGGTTATTGAAACGTCACGTAAACATTTGTGAGTGATCAGATTTCTAATTGTTCACACTTTTTCACACTTTTTACAAGGAAATTGAATTGTAATTATTGGGTTTTTCGGATTATCTGATGACCGTGTAACTGTACAAACTGATCCCTGCACCCGGAGGATCTCAGAGTTTGTTGTCGATTACGTTCAGGCCAGAGGTCACGTTCGCTCCTGTTTAATTTTTCATCTGTCCCTTCTTCTCCTTCAGCGGGAGCAGCCCAGGCATGAGCGACCCGCACCTGGACGAGTGGCAGAGGAGGTCCTTTGACATTTCGTCTGGCACCGGCACCCCTCAACAGACGGCGGACGCGCTCAGAGCCCACATCCTCGACATTCAGTATGCATGGGCAAGCCACCAGCTAACTCAAGCCGCGCAAACCAGGCTGCTGCGGAAGTACACCGAACGCTACGCTGCCGTGCTGGACTCCGATGACCCCAAAAACGGGTTAAATAACTATGCAGAGAGCGCCCTGCATTTGGCCCGAAGTCAGAAAAACCACAGCGAAAAGTGGGAGTCGGGGCTGAGCTTGGAGGGGCTGCTGAAGATGCCGTGCGTGCAGAAGATGGTTCAAGCGAAAAGTAAAGAGAAAGCGACGTCAGTGAACCCAGAGGATGAAAATATAACGGTCGGACAAGACGGTCAAAGTTTCCCGCTTCCCATAAGAGCCGAAAATGCAGGTTTCGGCGCAACAAAACCGCAATATTCCAAGCAAAAACAAGCCGGTACGAATTCCACGATCGCAAATAATTCTACTTTTGAGCAAACGAGAAGCTTTGGAGACAATTCCAATCCTAGACACTCAGCTTATTCTACGTTTGGAAACACATCTTCAGCTCAAAACTCATTTTCTAACCATCAAACTTCTACGTTCTCCAACCAAAACAATCAATCAGCGTTCCCAAATCCAGCTAAGCGAAAGAACTTTTGCAATTCCGACTCAGGAGAGAGCAGCAGGAGGCAGTACGGAGCGCAACCGGCTCAGACTTCCGCGCCGAAACCAGGAGGCAATTTCAAAACCGCTCGCGAACAGCTCATCGTCGATCAGCAAAAGAAATACTCGAACCCGCATCCGCAAAGTGGTCAGACTCCGGGTTTGGCAGCGACTATGAAGAAATCTCTCGGCGCGAATCGACCACGCGGGACTTTTTCGAAGTTTGTATCGCCTTTGCCGAGACAAGAAGACGAAAATCAAGTGTCAAAAAATGGCGACGCAAATCAAGACGGGACCATTTCGGACGAGCGCTTGAAAAACTTCGAACCAAAGATTATCGAGCTGATCATGAGCGAAATAATGGACCACGGGCCTCCGATAACGTGGGACGACATCGCCGGGCTTGAATTTGCCAAAACTACGATAAAAGAAATCGTCGTTTGGCCGATGTTGCGTCCGGATATCTTCACGGGTTTGCGAGGGCCTCCGAAAGGGATCCACTTTTCGGACCGCCGGGAACGGGTAAAACGTTAATCGGAAAATGCATCGCTTGCCAGTCCGGCGCGACCTTCTTCAGCATCAGCGCCTCGTCGTTGACTTCGAAATGGGTGGGCGAAGGAGAGAAAATGGTCCGTGCTTTGTTCGCTATCGCACGATGTCACCAACCGGCCGTCATTTTCATCGACGAAATCGACTCCTTGCTGTCCCAGAGATCGGACAGCGAGCACGAATCCTCCAGGAGAATCAAAACGGAATTTCTGGTCCAACTCGACGGCGCGACGACGGCAGCAGACGATCGGATTTTGGTCGTCGGCGCAACGAATCGCCCGCAAGAAATCGACGAAGCCGCGAGAAGGCGTCTAGCCAAGCGACTGTACATCCCGCTGCCAGAAGGGGGCGCGAGACGGCAAATCGTGACCAATCTGATGTCGAGGGAGAGGAACAACTTGCGAGAAAGCGAGTTGGAGAGTATCGTAGAGGCGACGGAGGGCTTTTCGGGAGCGGACATGACGCAGTTGTGCAGGGAGGCGGCTTTGGGGCCCATCCGGAGCATTCAGTTCAGCGACATCGCCACGATCTCGGCGGATCAGGTCAGACCGATCACGTACGGGGACTTCCAGGAGGCGCTGAAGACGGTGAGGCCCAGCGTGTCCAACAAAGACCTGGAGCTGTACGAGGACTGGAACAAGACCTTTGGGTGTGGGAGATAAACTGCCTCGAAATGTTGAGTTTGTACGACTTCACAATGTTGTAGAATTTAAATTTTGGAGCTTTTGTCATCAACATTCCCTGGGGTTGTGATGCTAAAATATATGTACTACTCTGTCTGAACCTTTGTTACTCAAGTTAGACTTTAATCTGAGCTTTATTTGAACACAATCTGACCAGAAAGAACTAACTTAACTGGAACTACAACAGGTCTGAGCTGATTTGTGCTGTTGAACAAGTCTAGAGTGACCAGACAAATCTGTGTATCATTTGTTTGTTCGTTTTCAAAAAAAAAAAAAAAAACAATAAAAAAACTGTTTATGATTTGTCTCCAAAACCAAGATGAAAAAACAGATAAAGATTAGTTTTTTGATTTTGTGTTTAAATGAATAATGGAAAAAAACGGGTAACGACCATTTCCTGTTTTCATGACTTTAGCTGTGATGCTGGACTAAACCAGGACTAAACCAGGACTAAACCAGGACTGAACCAGGACTGAACCAGGACTAAACCAGGACTAAACCAGGACTAAACCAGGACTAAACCAGGACTAAACCTGGTCTACCCAAGGACTAAAACAGGACTAAAATAGGACTAAAACAGGACTAAAATGGAACTAAACCTAGTCTAACCAAGGACTAAACTAGAATTAAACCAGGACTAAAACAGGACTAAACAGGTCTAAACCAGAATTGAACCAGGACTAAACCAGGTCTGAGTCCTGGTCTCAGTCCCGGTCTGGTCCCAGTCTGGTCGTCTGGTTTCCTGATCACCTGACAGTCTACGCGGGTGCACATACAGGCCAGGCCACTCCTGGTTCACTCCTGGTTCAGTCCTGGTTCAGTCCTGGTTCAGTCCTGGTTCAGTCCAGTTTCAGTTCAGTTTTAGTCCTGGTTCAGTCCTGTTTTTCCAGTTGAAGTGGCTCGGGCATCTGTTCCGGATGCCTCCTGAGCGTCTCCCTCGGGAGGTGTTCTGGGCATGTCCCACCAGGAGGAGGCCCCGGGGAAGACCCAGGACACACTGGAGGGACTATGTCTCTGGGCTGGCCTGGGAACGCCTCGGGATTCCCCCGGAGGAACTGGAGGAGCTGGAGGACGTGTCTGGGGTGAAGGAAGTCTGGGAGTCCCTGCTTGGACTGCTGCCCCCGCGACCCGGCCCCGGATAAGTGGAAGAAAATGGATGGAGTCCTGTTTTAGTCCTGGTTCAGTCCTGTTTTAGTCCTGTTTTAGTCCTGTTTTAGTCCTGTTTTAGTCCTGGTTCAGTCCTGGTTCAGTCCTGGTTCAGTCCTGGTTCAGTCCTGTTTTAGTCCTCTTTTAGTCTCTTTTAGTCCGGTTTTAGTCCTGGTTCAGTCCTGTTTTAGTCCTGTTTTAGTCCTGGTTCAGTCCTGGTTCAGTCCTGGTTCAGTCCTGTTTTAGTCCTGTTTTAGTCCTGGTTCAGTCCTGGTTCAGTCCTGTTTTAGCCCTGTTTTAGTCTGGTATTAGTCCTGTTTTAGTCCTTTAGTCCTGGTTCAGTCCTGGTTCAGTCCTGGTTCAGTCCTGTTTTAGCCCTGTTTTAGTCCGGTTTTAGTCCGGTTTTAGTCCTGGTTCAGTCCTGGTTCAGTCCTGTTTTAGCCCTGTTTTAGTCCGGTTTAGTCCGGTTTTAGTCCTGTTTTAGTCCTGGTTCAGTCCTGGTTCAGTCCTGGTTCAGTCCGGCTTCTCAGTTTACGTCACAGAAACGGGAAATGTGGTTGTTATCCGTTTTATTATTCATTTAAACACAAAATTGAAAACTGAAAAAAACACAAATCATTATTTAATCTTTTTTTTTTTTCATTTTGATTTTGGAGATAAATAATGAAGAAAACAGTTATTTTTTCAGTTTCTTATTTTTGGTTTTATTGTGAAAAACAAATCCACAAGGAGCTTCTGTCGCTGCATTTTTTTGCTTTACAGTCATTTTCAAACACAGATTTCTGTATTTCGGCTAAACTTATTACATTATGCTCCTGTTTACTGTCAGCAGGGATCAGATTAGTCAAAAATTGTGATAGTCCACTTTTAGTCCTGGTTTAGATATTGTTGTTGTGTTTTATTTGTTTTTGTATGTGTGTTAGTTTTATATTTTGTTATGTCTTATGTTTATTTTGTTATTAATGTGCTGGGTATTCCCTCAAAATGACACAAATCATATTAAAAAACATTAAAAATCGATGTAAATACAGTTACTAAATAAAATTTCAAGGATCCGTTCTCACTTTGGTTCCAGTTCGGTCCAGATCCAGTCCTGGTTTGGTCCAGGTTTAGTTCTGCATTTCGTCCCAGGTCGATGAAACGTGAACTACCCTAAAACTATAATTGCTGGGATTTCCGTCTCTTCATTTCCCCTTTTTTTATAGTTTCGATTTTCATGCATTATTTGAACAGTTGGCATTTTAAAAAAACATTATTCGATCTGATTATTTTGGTGTAGTTTTTACAGGTTGACTGTTTTGTCGCTGCTTTTTTTATGCTGAATTTTGACGTTTTTGTTTAAGAATATTCCTAAATTTTGTTTGTTGAGGTTGAATTCTTCTTTTATTTGAAGCTGTGTATACTCTGAGTGCGGGACGACATTGTAAAGCTGCTAATTTTTCTCAACTTTATTCATTTTTAATCTAGAATTTGGAAATAAAATTCTCATTATTATGCAAGAATCGACGCAGTTTCCTTTTGAACTTGGCTTTTTAATGTAACTTTCATTCTGGGAAACGTCTTTCGGTGAATGATTTGACCATAATTTCCCTATAAAGATTGTAACACCGTCTCTGAGTTACACCACGGGCTTGTTCCCCTTTCTTCCAGAACGCGTTTTGTCCCGCCGCTCCTGCACCGTCTGTCTGTGATAATGAGGCTGAGCGAGAGGAAGTTGGCCAACGCTCTCCTGATGAACACACAGTGGACACACAGGAACATTTCTCCATCACAACTCCTGACCTCTTACAAAAACATCCAGAACGCCCACAACCCCGAGTCTGTGGGCATCTGTGAGTAACTTTATAAATAAACTGTAATTTTCTAGGAGCAAACATTTAACCCTTACTTGAGTTATATTAATTTTTATATTTTTGTTGTATTTTTTATTTTTATTTCTCATTTTTGTCACTGTCTTTTGAATATAATATAATATCCTTTTTTTGAAAATCAATCTGTACCTAGATTGATTCAAGTTAATGCATCTGATATAAAAATGTATTGAACAGATACATATGTACTCTAGTTTATGAAACTGTTGACCTTTTTTCTGTACCATTTTTGGTTCTAAAGTTCCATCCATTTTAAACAGACCATGTATGAAACATGGAACAAAAATTATTTCCCAAATTTCAAAGACCTGAAAATCATGTCAATAAATGGATGTATTTCATCATATCTTGTGTTATTCCATCTTTGAACAATTGAAGGGACAGGATTAAAAAAAAAAAAAAAAAAGTATTTAAAATGATAAAAATTTGCTTGGAAGGACTGACATATTTTATAGAAATAGTTTCCTTTCATTTTGAAGTAATATTAAAGTTTTCAGAAGAAAAAAGTGACAAATGATGTAAAATCCTGCACCTTCTACTTGTTTGTACAATTTTCCCTCCGTTACTTTTCCCTCCGTTACCATGAACTTTCTTAATAAAAAATCTCATGAGTCAAAAAGTAAGAGGTTTTTCAACCTAATCTTGTACCATATGGTAGAAAACTATATGAAGCAAATATTCAAACCAGTTTGTTAAGGATATGTAAGTGAGAACCAAGAGTTATCACTGTTTGGATTTATTGACCAAAAAGTGCTGCATATTTCATTCCCTCCGTTACCGACATGAGTTTTTAAATTTTTTGTCAACAACTTGAAAGAATCTCACAGGTTTAACTTGACCCTGTTGGAGTGTAACTCTTTCCTACATTCTGATACTTTACTTATTTCAATAGTTCCTCTAGTTTCTGAATAAGAGACATTTGAATGTCAAAAATCTGCCCGTTTCCCTCCGTTACCACTTGACCAGACCCCAAAATCAAATTCTGTGGGAAATTTCATGAAATTCTCTTGATGTTTACTGGGTCCACCAAACCTCTGAAGTTTAGTGTCTGCAGAAGCCTTAAATCTGAGCTGAAAAATCATTTTTTCTTTAATAACATCAAAAATAATTAATTTAGCCCAATAGAATCAATGGAAGTTGAATATAAATATTGACATTGTGTTTCATTTGGTCTCAGTTTTATGTTTCTATCGTCATTCGTTTCTCAGATAAAGAAAAAGTGTCATTTCTTTGGGACTTGAAGGACCTTCAATAAATTTATAATGTTAATAATGATAATAATAATAATCATAATAATAATACATGAAAGTAAAAATAAATGAAAATAAAAAGCATTATTTTTAAGGTTATTTGAGAAAAACAGATTTTTCAACTGAGCAAATATTCCACAGATTTTCTTCTATTTGGTTTTGTCACATTTTAAAATTAGGTACAAGTTTAATTTCTGACACTGGGGCAAATGATGCATCCTCATTCTTTATATTATATAAATAGAGATGTAACGATATCCAAATCTCTGGGTACGATATTATCACGATATTCATCTCACGGTACGATATTTATTACGATATTTTGAAGAGGCTGATATAATTGTGCTTTTAAAATCCCTTGACAAGATTTTGGTGTGAATTATTTCCGTCGTAATCCCAAGAATTTAAGCCAAAAACATATTTCTTCTCATTGTTTGCACTGAAATGAATCATGGGAAATGTAGTTCCCGGTGTTTATAAGACGCTGCTACTGTAAAACCTGCATTTAAGCAAAGAAACTTCACGATATTATTGTGAGACTTCTGACGATATCACGATATTTTGGTTATTGTTACATCCCTGTATATAAACTTAAATATTATAAATCAATGTTACGTAACGACTGGGTTGGGTATCATTAAGAAGTTGCTGATACGATACATACCTCACTACACAGGCCACGATATGATACGCTTTTCGATACAGTGCACTTTCGATTCAATATGATTCGATACAATATATTTCAAATCTATTCGATATGGTTCAGTGAAAAACAAAGGCTAAATCGTGGCTTTGATACTAAAAGTTTACTAAGTTAATATGAAAAACACCCGTTTTACTCCACTCCACTCGAGGCAGCGTTCCTCCCCTCACCTCTGGTCATGAGCTCTGGGTAATGACCGAAAGGACGAGATCACGGATACAAGGTCGAAATGAGTTTCCTCTGCAGGGTGGCTTCATTAGAGATCGGGTGAGGAGTTTAGTCACACGGGAGGAGCTCGGAGTAGAGACGCTGCTCCTCCACGTCGAGAGGAGCAGCTGAGGGGAGGACATCTGTTCTGGATGCCTCCTGAGCGCCTCGGGAGGTGTTCAAAAATATTGAAATATCGATATATCGTATCGCTTAATGTGATGATACAGTATCGATATCGTGGGCTGCTGTATCGATATATCACCAAGAGTACTTTTTGGTATATTTTACTAAATTATTTTGTTACAGCTACAATTTTGTTGCTTGTTTAGAGGAAGGAAACTTTTTTATGCGACACATTTGACATTTTCGCTGTTTTGATGAATAAAATGTTTGTGTTTCATATGAACTTTGCACAAAAAGTGGTTTAACAAAGACTTTTAGTATCACAGACACGATTTAGTCCTTTATTTTTATTGAACTGTATTGAATCGATTTGAAATATATCATATTGAATCGAAAGCTCACTGTATCGAGGTATGTATCGTATTGTGGCCTGTGTATCGAGGTATGTATCGTATCGGTGACTTCATAATGATACCAGCCCTATTCTGGGCATGTCCCACCGGGAGGAGACCCCGGGGAAGACCCAGGACACGCTGGAGGGACGATGTCATAAGGAAACAGTGCAAAGATTAAGTGATGATTGACAGAAACAAATAATATAAATAATATAAAATAACACAGTCCAACCCGTAGACCAGGAGTGAGAAATAATTTTTTCCATGGGGCCACATGAAAAACTGAAAATATTGTGAAGTTTCGAGCCAAAATGCGCAACTCAATTCTGCATAATATTAATTATATTTCTTTATAAAAAGCAGTAAATATAATTGTTTGTCGAGCTGCTCAGACTGGTAAAAGTTTATGTTCTGACTAAGCAATGAAAAAGTGAGGCTGCCAAACAAAAAATTCATTAAAAAAGTCCATGTTTGTCCTTGTTTACTCCATGATTGAGGTAAAATTATAAAATATGTTTATTTTTTTATTCCAAATGAGCTTAAACATCATTGTCTGTGTTTTCAAAATGTGACTATCAGGTTTTTTATTTTATTATGAGACTGTTCACAGTGTTGGGGAGTAACAGATTACATGTACCGGAGTTATGTAATCAGAGTACAAATTATGAGTAACTGTATTCAGTTACAGTTACTGTTTCAGTGAGTGGTAATTGGATTACAGTTACTTTGTTGAAATAAATGGATTACACGGTGGTATTTTCCTGTTTTCACATTTCGGGGTATTCCCTTTTTTTTTTTTCGGTAATTCCACTCATTGCCGGACACTAAACCAGGTCTAAAGCAGGACTAAAACCAGGTCTAAACCAGGTCTAAACCAGGACTAAACCAAGACTAAACCAGGTCTAAAACAGGATTTAACAGGACTAAATCATGCTGCGTGGACCGTGTCTCCTTATATTATATTTTTAATTTGGTTCAGTAAAGTCTGGACTTTTTTATTGTTTTTTATCAGACAAAACATCTTATGTGAAGATTTCCTCGTCTTTGCTTCTCTACAGCAAATCAAGTAATCCAAAGTATTCAGATTACATTACTCACTTTAAGTAATTTAATGGATTACTTTACAAACTACATTTTGGTGTGTGTAATCTGTAATCTGTAGGGGATTACATTTTAAAAGTCACCTTCCCAACACTGACTGTTCAAATGAAACGTAAACAGCAACGTGATTTATTTATTTTATTTTTTTACCATCTGTGTGTTGTGTTTTGTTTAAATGGTACAGAAAGCAGATTTTTGTTTGCGTTTTAATAAAAAAAAAAGTAGTAGGCCTCTCTCAGATGTGACAGAGAACTGATATAATTTCATAAAACTTTGACCAAACTACATCAGAAAACAGAAGTGTAATCGGCAAATCACGTAAGACCAATGTCGAAATGATAACGTATTGTAAAACTTTCTATTTCCATCTACACGTCGGATCATTCCGCTGAAAATTACTCCACATTTGACCCGCATTGCTTAAGTTGGTCATTACAAAAAATCTTATCATTCAATTTTAATGCAACTTTCTGAAAATCTGGAAGGCCATTTGAAAAAGCGCTCATTTATTTTTCATCTTTTTGTCCGGTTTGTGATAAATATTTCAGGTCCGGTTTGGTGGCGTGCGGGTCGCTGGATGGATGGAGACCGGGGCTGAATTTGCCAGAAGAGGAGAGAAGAGGAGAGGAGCGCGCGGGGCGGTGTGTGACGTCCGGTCCACAGGGGGGCGCTCTTTCGGACAGAGAGAGGCGGGGGGAGGCCGGGGAGCAGAGCAGTGTCCGCGGGGTGCACAGAGGGCCATATGGTGTGAGAGAGAGAGAAGGGGAAGGGGGCACCGTTCGGGACGAGGCTCGAGACGGCAAACGCTTAGAAGAAAACAGATGAATAAATAAAGAGGGGACGGTTGCCTATATACATACATTAACGGCCGGGTCGCTCCCCGATGTTTTGGCTGCGGCCGAATTGTCGTGCGCAATATGGTAAACGATTTAACCGGTCTGGGAATTGTCATGAACGAGCATCTGTTTTCATCTGACCTGCTCCTCTGCTCCACCTGAACCTCAAACTCATTTTGGTCCAGGGGCCGTGTCCAACCGACTCTGATCCTAAAGTGTCCGGATCAGAAAACTCATGTCATATAAACCTCAAAAATAACAAAAAGTTCAAATATTTGTGCAGAGAAACACAAATCTATTACAGAAATCTTTTTTAATTGATGAACTCTTTCTTTTACAAAATATTATAATATTATGAACAACCTGAAACTTTAAGAAAAATACAATTTCAACACAAAGTTTTAACATGAACTTGTTTAACATGAACTTGTATAAATAGAAAATAAGTAAATTTTTCTTGGAAAATCCTGCACTCGGCTCCACTTTTCTCATGTTGGACATTTTTCTGATGAGGGTGTCACGGTCAACAGTCAAAACGATCGTCCTTTAAGAGCGTTTGGAAAGAGACAAGTCTTCATTTGTGCTGCTCTGGTGGGAGGGGCCACGTACAGAGACGCTGGAGACGCTGCTGTGATAAACACCACACAAAATTAACAAGATTTTAGTAAAAAATAGAATTAAAATATTTTAGTAGAAAATCAGCCGAGGGCCAGATTAAAGGTCTTGGAGGGCCAGATCTGGCCCCCGGGCCGCATGTTTGACACCTGTGCTCTAAACTATCTGACCATCTACTCTGCTCCATCTGACCCTCTACTTTACATACTCTGCTTCTTCTAACTCTCTTCTGCTCCATTTGACCCTTTCTTCTGCTCCTCTGCTCCATCTGACCCTCTCCTCTCCATTTTCTGTTACATCTGACCCTCTCCTCTGCATCTTCTGCTTCGTTTGTCCTTCTACTTTACATCCTCTGCTCCATTGGACCCTCTCTACTCTATTTGACCCTTTCTTCTGCTCCTCTGCTCCATCTGACCCTCTACTTTACATCATCCGCTTCTTCTGACTCTCTTCTGCTTCATCTAACCCTCTCTGCATTCTTGGATCTATCTGACCTTCTCCTCTCGTCCTCTGCTCCATGGGACCCTCTACTTTACATCCATCCTCTGATTTTCCTGACTCCTGCTCCATCTGACCCTCTCCTCTCCATCTTCTGCTCTTCATCTGACCCTCTCCTTTACATCCTCCGCTTCTTCTGACTCTCTTCTGCTTGATCTGACCCTCGCTTCTTCCTCCTCCTCCTCCTCCTCCTCCTCTCCTCTGACCCTGTCTTCTGCTCCTCGGACACTCTCGTCTACACCCTCTGCTCCATCTGACCCTCTTCTTTCCATCCTCTGCTCCATCTGACCTCCTCTGCGTCCTCCTCTCTCACATTATCTGACTTCACAAAAAAAACACCTCGGGAAATCATGTATTTTATTTGCGTTACAGCACTGAAAAAGTCTATAAAACCACTCATCCTTACCGTGAGAAGCCTTGCATCTCCACAAACCCGACTTCTTGGAAAAAGTACAGTTTTAACTTTCTGTTTCCACGTATTATATTATTCACGTCACTTTCCATTATTTTTAGTCTTGGGACACATTTGGTTACTGTTCTCCACTCAATTTAGATCTTAAAAACACAGCTCAAGTGCCTGCTGTTTGACCTCTGTTTTCTACTCCTCTTTTTCTCTCTTTTCTCTCCTTATTTCCTCTTTTTCTCTGCCCTCCTTTTCGTTCTCTCTTCCCTTCTTGTCCTCTGAATCTCCGCTTCTTTCTCCCCCCTTTCTCTCGCTTCGTTTTCTCCTCCTTTTCTTTTTTCTCGCCCTTCTTTCGTCCATCTTTTAACCCCTCCTCGTGTCTTCTCTCCTCCGTCCTCTCCCCCCTTTCCAGCCCCCGTCTTCTCCTCTCCTCCTCCACCCCCGTCTCATCGCAGGTCCCAGAGACCCCGGGCCCTGGTCACATCTGCCCCCCCCCCTTCTCACAGCGGCGCCATCTGTCCGGTCCTGCTCCAGCCGGCCCCGGTGAGACACTCGGATCGCGGCTGGCCTCGGAGCTCCGGCGCTGGGCTCATGCTCCGCTGACTCCCCCCCTCCGTCCTCCTCCTCCGCTCGGGTCCAGCACGCACACCACGGTCCGCAGAGAGAAACAGAGATGGGGCAAGTCTTCAGGTCGGGTGGACGAGGCTAACGACGTGTTTAGGAGGAAGCGGTGCTGAAAGAAACGGCGAGGTGCAATCACGTAAACAGCTCTATCATATATTACCGTATTTTTCAGACTATATGCCGCATTTTTTTCACGGTTTGGGTGTTTCCTGTGACTTATTCTCCAGTGTGACTTCTATATTAAAATGTTTTTCGTGAAGTGTGGAGAGGTTCTTGTGTGTCAGTATCTGCTGCTCCTGTTCCTCCTGTACCACTGTCACTTGGCTCTACTGCGCATGTCTCCTGCAGAAAGAGCCTCTGTCCTGTCTGTGTCATGTCAGTCGATCGCATCGTAACTTCTACAATTTAACATTTAAACAAACTTATAAAGACAAAGACTGAGAAAACTGAACACAAATGCCCCCTATAAGAAAATCAGATTCTGCAGATTACAAACTGCAAGTCGTGAAATCTGCAGCTGAAAACGATAATCGAGCAGCAGAGAGAAAGTTTGCAGTGAGAGAGAAACTTGTGACACGGGGAGGATGCACCATGAAACTTTCCTGAAGTCACTGGACGGATGGACAAAGTCTGGACTTCAGTGACACCGAAACCATCCTGTCGAGATTCAGAAAGACCAGAATAATTCTAACTGGAACTGATGCTGAGTCTGACGACAGCAACACAGAAGAGGAAGCGTCGCTCTGTTTACCTCCGGAGGTCGAGGCCGAGTTGCTCAGAAGTGACACCGAGGATGAAGATAAACTGTACTTAAAAAATCATAGTATATTTATATATGAATATTTATAAAGTATATAAGTGATGTAGAAATGTATTTAGTTAATTTAGTCACAGCTCAGTGGTCATACCAGTCACTAAGATTAAGACACCAACTAAGACTTAAACATGCTTAGAAGTGTTATTTCTTTTTGTAGTCTGCACTGAAATGGAGCAAAGGATCATGGTCCATGTAGTTCCCTCTGTATTTTTTTAGCTCTTGCTGCACCGTAACTCTTCATTTAAGCAAAGAGACTTGCAATTTGTGCTCTGTTTACCTCCGGAGGTCGAGGAGTTGTTCAGAAGTGACACCGAGGATGAAGAACTGAATGGATTTAGTGATTTGGAGTGAGATGGAGAGTTTGTTACCTCCGCCAACGAGGTTAAGTTTTTGCCGGCGTTTGTCTGTTTGTCTGTTTGTTTGTTTGTTTGTTTGTTTGTTTGTTTGTTTGTTTATCTGTTAGCAACATAACTCAAAAAGTTATGGACCGATTTTGATGGAATTTTCAGGATTTGTTGGAAATGTGAAAAGAAAGAACTGATTTCATTTTGGGTTTGATCCGGAAGAAATCCTGGATTCTGGATCACTTTGAAATTTTAGTTCACATTGTGGTAAATGGGGCCAAAAATTTTGTTTCTCAATATCTCAGTTAATTATTGACCAAACCCCATGAAATTTGACTCAGGGATGGACAATGGGATCCTCTTTCATATTCCAAAGGCTGATCCGGATCTGATCCAGAAGACTGATTTTATCGCAATTTATATAAAAAATGGGGGTAGTCCTTGGCGGAGTCTGCGCCTGCTTTTCTAGTTAAACTTGTTCTGTTCTGTTGTTTATGTTATATTTTATCTGATGAACTGTTCATATGTGACGTTAACAGTCTGTTGTTCTCTCTTCTGTTGTTTTTACTAGAGCTTGACTTTACACAGGAACTGTCTGCTCCTGGTCTCTGACTTTATAAAATAAATTTCCCCCCAGAAAGTGAGACTTATATGTGTTTTTTCTTCTTCATTATACATTTTTTGGCTGATGCAACTTATACTCCGGAGCGACTAATTGTCCGAAAAATCCGGTACTGTGATTTGAAATGTCACAATATCACATTTTAGTCTTATGATTATTGTGATTTGAAATGTCACCACTTCACATCCTTATTTCACTTTCATTTTCAGTCTAATACAGACGTGTCCAAACTATTTTACCTATTTTATTAATGGCAACAAATTACATTCTGACACAAACCTAAAGCCTTTTTTAACAGAACTGTGACTGATCTAGTGATGTAAAATGCACCTGAATGCATCTGAATAATAATGCAACAGTGAAACATGCATCAGAAAAATAATAATAATAACAATAATTTAAAAAACAACAGCAGCCCCCCACCCGCACCCTTTTGTTTCATCCAAATATGCAGCAATTTAGACAGAAACATAAAACTTAAAGCTCCTAAAGGTTATAGTAAAAATAAAAATGGAGAAATCAGATGGAGACTAAGCAAAATAGAAATGATAATTTAGTTTAAAACAAATATAATAATAATCACCATTGTAAAAATAGCATACAAAAGCAAACAATGATGCAAACAATCCAATTAATTATGTCTGATTTATTTACGCTTTTTCAGAATATAAGAGACAAATTACATAAAGATGTAAAAAACTGAGAAAAGGCCTATAAAAAAAAGGCCAAAACAAAAAAACAGAAAAGACAAAAACAAAAAAAACCCAAAAACAAAACAAATATGTGCTACTAAAACATTTAACCAATTTAGGCCAACCGATAAAAATGAGTCATAAGAAGTGATTTAAAAGATGATCCTGATGGTGCGAGTCTTTTCTCCTCGTTCAGGTCGTTCCAAAGCCGACGTGTTCGGACTGAAAAGACTCCGTCACCTTCGTCAGGAGTCTGGACTTTGGAAAAAACACAGGGACCTGACTGAGGATCTAAGACTGTGAAAGGCTCGTGCGAGGTTAAAAGTTCTGAAATCTTCTGGCTGGTTTTGGCTTAGGGAGTGTGCAATCCAATCCAGCACATTTTACAAACAAAACCGTTTCCAAAGTGCTTCAAATAGCAATGCAAAACACTTTACTTTAAAAAGAAAAAACTCTGCAGAATTATGTTTAATAAGGACACTAACAGAAGAAATAAAATAAATAATAATAAAAATTAAAATACAAGATTGTGAAGGGTTTGTCGGTGAAAAGTGACTTAAAGGTCGTGTTGGTGCATCACTCGTGGTCATACTTGTCCTTTTATTTATTTATCTTCTGTGGTGGATGTTTGTGTGGTGCTTTTGTTGTTATTTTGTCCTGTTTTGAGTGGATTGGTGTATTGCTCTGGATTGTGGGGCGCACAGTCGTTTTTTGACGGGGTTGGAGGCTTAAGGCGCCATATAGTGTGGAAAATACGTTACTCCACTTTGCATATGTCACGGTCCATCCATCCATTTTCTTCCGCTTCTCCGGGGCCGGGTCGCGGGGGCAGCAGCCTTAGCAGGGACTCCCAGACTTCCCTCACCCCAGACACTTCCTCCAGCTCCTCCAGGAGAACCCCGAGGTGTTCCCAGGCCAGCCCAGAGACACAGTCCCTCCAGTGTGTCCTGGGTCTTCCCCGGGGCCTCCTCCCGGTGGGACATGCCCGGAACACCTCCTGAGGAACAGATGCCCAAGCCTCAACTGCTCCTCTCGATGTGGAGGAGCAGCGGCTCTACTCCGAGCTCCTCCCATGTGACTGAGCTCCTCAGCTCCTCACTCTGTCTCTAAGGGAGCGTCCAGACGCCCTGCGGAGGAAACTCATTTCGAGCGCTTGTATCTGCGATCTCGTCCTTTCGGTCGTCACTACCCAGAGTCATGACCAGAGGTGAGAGTAGGAACAAAAGACTGACCGGTAAATCGATATAATATGTCACGGTCCACAATGCAAATAAACTGGAATGGACACTCATTTCTATTGTGATGTTTATCATTTATCCAAATAATTATGATTTAGCACAATTTATGTAAAAAAAAAAAAAAATAGAAATCACAGATAAATTTACATTGAAAGGATTTATTTTATAGCACATTTTGAATCAGATTTTTAACACATTTCAAAACAATAATCTTACAGGATCAAATTAATGATTCTAATTCTAATTGGAGTTATTCCCGTAGTTTTAATTTACTTGAAAATGATCAGTAAATGTATTAAAAATGTGTTTATCGGCCTGTAAATATTTACACAAACCTGGAATCCTGATACTATAAAGACTGAGCGACGCACTTAAACTTCTGGACAAAACTTCCCTTAATTAAAGAACCTATAACCTCTAACTCACTGGCTAAATAAACAGATAAATAGATAAATAAATAAACATGTAGCTGTCAAAGTGTCTTCAGTCTAACCTTGAACGTGTCCGTCTCTCGGCCGTCAGTCTTTCTGCTGACAGCGTGATTGACATTCACCGTAATTATCTCTGAGGGTCTAAGGTTAAAAGAGAAGAAAAGAGTCCAGCTTAATTTTAGCTCTAAAACTTTTATTTGTATTTATATAAAAAAAAAAAAAAGGATTTAAGTGGAGTTTTATGTTTAGATTGTGGTTTGCGTCACGTGACTTAACAACAGTGTAGAATCTTTATAGTTTAAACTGAGCTGGAGGCAGGTCAGGATCCCGGTCTGGTCCCGGACCTGGATCAGTCCTGGATCAGACCTGGTTCAGTCCGTATGCGGTGCAAAAGTTCAGCATCACAGTCACGGGAAACGGCCGTTATCCGTTTTTTCCCATTCTTCATTTAAACACAAAATCGAAAACTGAAAAAACAAATCATTATCCGTTTTTTTCATTTTGGTTTTCGGAGACAAATAATGAAGATTTTTGGTTTTATATTGAAAAACGAATGAACGAATGATACAAGGATTTTTATGGTTCATATTTCTGTAATTACTCACCCGATGTACATGAAACAAAAACTTCTCTGTCTGTATATTGAAACAAATGTAAAAATAGTCACAAAGTTTATTGTTTGTCGTTTAATCTCAAATATGCTCGTGCTTCTCCTTCTGTAGCTATGAATATATCAAATTCTACAACATGAAGCTGTTATAGTTTATTTATCCTTTATTCTCAGATCACCTGTTTGTTTTTGGACAGAGGGAAGAGGAGAAAACACTCAGTCACTCCTCTTTACCAGTGTCACTCATTTTGTGTGTTTAAAATATAAAAATGTGATTTTAGGAGAATTACACATTTGCTATTCATTCATTTACTTACTGTACGTGTACTGTTTCGTCATGATCTGTAGCGTTGCCGTGCCTTGGGTACGGTGAAGGTTTTTTCATGTCCAAAGCTCAGACCAGAGAATCCAGACAAACTAATGCCAATAAACTTTGCCAGTGTTTTGGGGCTGATACATTGGGCCAATTTTTATAATATCTATGCAAATTATGTTACTTAAATTTACTACAAATTCACCCACAGCATTTCTTCCGAGGAGCTGTGTAGTCACGGTTTCAGCAGTTTTCTCTTTGCACTGAAGCTTTCAAATAAGTTTCATGCAGGGTTCCCACCGTCATGGAAATCCTGGAAAAGTCATGGAAATTTGTAAATATTGATACTCGTAAGTAAGTCTTTATTTATAGAGCTCTTTTTCACAGACATTTGTCACAAAGACACTTTACAGAACATTATTCATTCACTCTACACCTGGTGATGGTAAACTACTGTTGTAGCCACGGCTGCCCTGGGGCAGACTGACAGAAGCGCGGCTGCCATGCCAATAAACGCCATCGGTCCCTCCGACCACCACCATCACTCACACACACACCACTGTCATACTAGGCAATGTGGGTGAAGTGTCTTGCCAAAGGACACAATGACAGTTATTCCCACTGTGGCTCCTGCTTTTCCCAGTGTCTCCATCCAAGTCCTGACCAGAGCTGCTGAGCTTCTGAGATCTGACGGGATCAGGGCGTAGTTCTGGATTTAGTCCCAATATTTGAGGCGGTAATACCAGCGGTGGGACCAAGTCGTTGTTTTGCAAGTCTCAAGTCTTTGGCCTCAAGTCCGAGTCAAGTCCCAAGTCAAATACAAGTCAAAAGAACAAGTCGTCTGCTTTGAGCTTCAAGTCTTTTCAAGTCTTTAAACCAAAGGACCAAATATAGGTTAGATTTTGGCAATTTATATGAATTTTAAACTAAACTGTACTTAAAAAGTCACAATATATTTATATATGAGTATTTATAGAGCGTATAAGAGCTGTAGAAATGAATTTAGTACATTTTTCCTTTTTAAATATCTTGAAAAGATCTTAGTGTGATTCATTACAGTCAGAACAAAAAGAATTCTGATTTAAAAAGTGCTTCTCGTGTCTCCTCAAGTCACAGACCTCAAGTCCAAATCAATGATCTT